AAAAGCAAAAAAAATGATTTTACGTCACATTTAATCAATGTAACTGCTATAATCAAACTTCCGTATATACCAATCAAGAAAAGCACAAAAAATGATTTTACGTCAAATTTAATCAATGTGAATGCTATAATCAAACTTCCGTATATAACAATCAAGAAAGGCAAATTAAATGATATTACGTCACATTTAATCAATGTGATTGCTATAATCAAACTTCCATGTATAACAATCAAGAAAAGCACAAAAAATGATTTTACGTCACATTTAATCAATGTGATTGCTATAATCAAACTTCCGTGTATAACAATCAAGAAAGGCAAATTAAATGATATTACGTCACATTTAATCAATGTAATTGCTATAATCAAACTTCCGTATATAACAATCAAGAAAAGCAAAAAAAATGATTTTACGTCACATTTAATCAATGTAATGCTATAATCAAACTTCCGTATATAACAATCAAGAAATGCAATTAAATGATATTACGTCACATTTAATCAATGTGATTGCTATAATCAAACTTCCGTATATACCAATCAAGAAAGGCAAATTAAATGATTTTACGTCACATTTAATCAATGTAACTGCTATAATCAAACTTCCGTATATACCAATCAAGAAAAGCAAAAAAATGATTTTACGTCACATTTAATCAACACATCTGCAATAATCAAACTTTTTTATATACCAATGAAAAATAGCAAATTAAATTATATTACGTGACATTTAATAAATTTTAATGGTGTTTTATGTTTTTCGTATATATCATCTAGATTTATCAAAATGAATGTTCGAAGGTACATTTTTTATCACAAACTTTGTGATACATTGGTAAACCTCTCTTTCTTAGAATTGACAAATCTATAAGGAGGTTGACATTCTGGTATCATCATATCTGTGGTAGAGTTTAGACGCAGCAGGCAGTATATATATGGATGGAAAAAACAGTGTTTCATTCAATACATTATCTTATAATTCACAATAATAAACACTAATCTAGTAGCAAAAATTGTCAAATCCGTCATTACAAAAGCCAAATCATTGCTTCACTTTGAAAATGTCAGCCATCTTCTTGGCGTGCTTATCAGCATTTTGTCGACCTGCTCCTGGGTGATACCTCTTTGGAGCATTTTTGGCACCACATTGCACAAAATGTGGGAATATCCATGACCACCATACTTTACCTTGAAGATAAAAGGCATAAAATGCATTAAAAGAGGATACACATTTTACAGGTTTGACAATAAGTAGCAGCATTGTAAACGAAATGGTCCTCGCAATTTTGCAGCAGTAGGGCCATTTGCTTCAGGCTTTGCAGTACTTTTCCCACAAGTGATAATACGGTAGAAAAATGAAAAAGTACAGTAACAATGTTCTAAGTACAGTAAACTCCCGATGACTTGAACATCCAACGAACTACTCTAATGAAATGGTTTGAGAAAGCGTATGTTAAAGTTGGGAATCGGGGGTATTTTTATTTGAAAGTATTTGGCAAGGGGAATCCAGTTGGACTTAACGGATGTTGGAGTTACCTGGGTTTTGAGTAATCGGTAGTTTCCGGCAGGCGTGTACAAGCGGTTTGTTGTTTGATTGAAAACTCATCGTCATAGAAGCGATAAATGATTAAACAATTTCTAAAGGGTGTGGCGCATAGGCCCTTTTACACAAATCATTGAATTTCTGCAAGCAAACATCTACTGCCTGCATAGGGCGAAATATAAATAAGTTGCAATTTGATAAACAAATTCTAATAATCACCGCGAAACAACAACAAAAATCTTTCAGAAATACAACCGATTGATTATTGCCGAGGCTCGATGGTGTCATTTTTTGGCTCTGGTGGTCTTAATGCTGCTCTTTATTCAACATTGCATAAATTGTTTCTAGGACCATTAACAATAGTTTTCCATGATATTTTTAGTAGCACTGTTGGGTATTTGATAAATTCTGCTCTGTTATGTTAACATGAAAGTTAATTTAAAAAACATTGCTTTCTTTCCTTCCAACTTTTTACCAATGGCTTGGCGTGTTTTTATGTCACATATTTTTGGAAAATCTAGCCTCGCCATTCCTATAGATTGCGTTAGAGTGTCTAAACCGAAAAGGTATAAAATGCGCCTACCAATCGGTGTCTTGTGTGAACATCGTGCGCAATCACTAGCTGATCCTCAAAGCCTTGATCAATCAAATGCTTGATTCGGTAAATTCTCTGGGCATCACTCAGAAAGTCCACTGCAAGGTTATTCTGATAATGCGATACTTCAATGCCAAAAAAGTCATGCTCCAAAATGCACCCTGTTTTTGCCAACTCAACCAATCCACTATATTCAAAAATGGTTCGATCCAAATGTGACATAACGGTTTTTGTGACATCACCCCCTGATTCTTTGATTATATTAACAATCTCTATTGGAGAATCATGGTGCTTGCCGGGGTGGATGAGTAATGGTGCACCAGTGATTTTCTAAAAGGTAAAAACAGCCAATGCTTGCTGTGGCAATGTTGCTATGGCTACTTGAATGGACTAAAAACACTGCAGAATGCCTTACTGCTTTACTTCAGATGCCTTACCAGCTTAACACATATTCAGATTAAAAATATCATAATTGGAAAATTCGAGAGAATCAAGATTCGTTCAAGATAAATTCCTAGGAAGCAAGCGTTTTCTAAAAAAACAGAGCTGTTCAAGATTGCTTTGTTTTTCAGTTCAATATAATTTTTAGTGATGAAGTAATGAAAAATATTTTCAATTTCAATGAAACAACCCTGAAATGGCTAATCATGAAATACATCTGAATCTTCTAAATCAGTTGAATTTGTTTCACATTGGCTGAGATATCGATACTTTAGCAAACTTCAAAATTTTAATTGGCCATATGTGACCAAATTTTTAAATTATGTAGCTGATATTGCACTTTCAGATTTATTTTTTTAATCTTTCAGGTCATGTGGTCATGTCTAGAAATTCTTAAAATTTGAATATTTATGATGTCACACTTGATGAATCCATAGCAGTCAAAAAGGCATTCAAACCTGCGCTTTAGATGCAGCAATGAGACATTTCCTTTCCAAATCGGTCAGTGGATAAGTACACCCAATTTCACCAATGACGCCCCCCTTGATGCCATTTCTCCCTTCTTCAATATCCTTGACAATTTCCTAAAAATGTACAAAATTTACCACATTAGCGATCAACATCAACTCTTACAAATAAGCAAGGAGTTGATTTCAGGTAAGTTTTTGTCAAGTCAGAAAATAATGAATAAACTGAGAGCCACTAAAGCCATACTTGCTAATCATCAAGTCTATTTGGTTGTTGAGGCAGCATGTACTCAAGTTAAAGTTTGTCAAGAGTCAAAGTGGGTGATAGTGTAACATATCATGATTCTCACTTGTCAAAACATGTCATCAGGCGGTATGCTTTTTTGCAATTTGTGAATATTTTCAAACTATGTGAAAATGCAAAATATTCCAGATTCAAGCAAATCCTGATTTTGTGTGATGTGTCTATGATAAAAAAAGCAATGATATGCTTCAAGAAAATCCTGAATTTTAACAGCAACTTGTGCATCTAGTGAGAACGGTATGCTGATAGAAACAGGTATGTAGAGGGTGCACAGGACCCCCCAATATTCTAGAAGGTCCCCAAACCAAAATAATTGCAGATCATACTGAGTTTCAAATAGTGTGCACATTTTGCCTCTCAACCCTTTCGAGCCATGACTATGTTTGTGCATTACCTCTGTATGTTAATTTTAATATATAATCATTTCTATATGTTATTGATAAAAATTTTAGCTCCCCTGATAGATGCCTTGCAATTTTAAACTTTCTGTTACCTTTAACATAAATCTGTAAGTTTTCATGAGCAATCCTCAAGGTCTATAATCTTCCAAAAAACAAATTCTATCAAATTCTAAGCCCAAAAATTAAAATATGTTTAAATCTACTCTGCCAGACGCCAACCTGACAAAGCTCATCAATGCTGGCATCTTTTGCATACTCTGGCAACGTAAAACCCATGTAATGGCCAGCTCCAGCAATGATGTGGACACCAGTCGATTGTGAAACCTCCTTTAGGAATTCCCAGTCAGGATTTATTCCAACAGTGGTTGCCTCTACAATTGATCCACCCCCATTTTCTTTGAAGAAGCCAATTTCAGTGATCATTGACTTTATTGTCTCGTCACCCAACTTCAGGTTCTCAATGTGACTGTACCTAAAAATCAAATTTAAAAATTGGATTAAACTTATATTAGTCTTAACATTTGGTTTATTTTATAATGGTTATAGCACCTTGATATAACATTGGTTAAGTTTGCATGTTTTCAGCCCTTGAAAGAATTCAAACATCCTGATCATCATTTATTTTGAAATCAATTTTTCCATTTCCTGGATAATTTTTCAGCAGCTTAAAGTATATTTTAGAAAAAGTTTCCACCATAACTGACTCAACGATGTTCTTAATCTCCCAATATTTATTCATTAATGTTGGCATGCATGCAGATTTGTTCATTTTTAGTGTGCAATGTTTTCCTGCTTTGAAAGCATACTTAAATAGTCAGACATTGAACTCCATGGGTTTACGTTATAATCCTCTCACAACTCAATCTTTATAATCTGGGATGTGCAACAGGGTGTTAAGGAGGCAGCTGCTGCCTCCTAAAAAAGTTTCCTAATAGCATATTGTCCATTCTCATGACTTTTTAGGAATTGAAGAGGCATCAAATAATTTTTATAGGTGCAGTCATTTTGATTGTTAAAATATTCATTTGAAGCGGACCAAGATGGTTGACCTTGATTTTGTTCTCATTCAAGTTGGAAACAGAAATAATAAAAAAAGGAAACTGGTTTTTTAAAGTAGCAGAAAACATTTATAACAAAATCACAAAATTAAATAACAAGATCTTAATAGTTTGTCTATTCTTTTGTTCATGATGCACTCTCTTACCCTGCGGTCAGGGGTGGCACCAAGGGGTGCACTGGGGTGGACATATCCATCCCACTTTTTTAAGATCAATTTTCTAATCTTCCAAAACTGGACAAAAAACATAAGATGTAAGTTTTCTTCTCTGGGATGGGAACTTCTTTCCATTTTGATGATCATTTATGGTTCTTCTTCAGATCTTAGCTGACATAGAGTATGATGTGTACGATCATCAGTTTTGTAAATAGTGAGAAACTAAAATGATGATGATCTATAAGACACAGCTTATTGTGCTAAACAGTAGGTTCTTAGAGTGTGGTTATTGCCTTCATTTTTTGTTAAAGATTTTTAGCAATAATTGACTAATAAACCTGTACATGCTACAAGTTTTTGACTTACGGATATTGCCTGATCCAACCAAGATTATCAAGACGTATTTCAGGATCCCTTGCTCGCTCTTTGTCAGAATCTGTTTTTGGTTCTAAATAGCAGCACATGTATTGAAGTCTGATATGCTCATGTGTTAGGGTCTTTCCAAGTTGATCAGGTGAAATAACACCACAAACTAAGAAGAAGTGCAAAATGAATCACCAAATACTCTGGTAAAGGCACATAAAACTTCTCCAAAACAGCATCAAATAACAAATCACAAGGAGATACAAGATAACAACAGGTAAGATACAAGCTGTAAGTTTCAATAATCTGATGTTTTGGTACTGCCAAATTCATGCAATTTGAAAGTAAGAGTAACACAGCTTATTGCATATTGTGGAAAAAGCAAAGCTGACTAGATAGGCAAGTTTTAATTGCAGGAATGCAATGGCGGTGCCAGCCACTACGCTCTGGGGGGGACAAAACAAAATATTTTAGACCACGCCCCTTTTAGCACCAGAAAACTCTCTTTTACTAACAAGGAACGCAATTTTTACCTGAAGGGAATGCTAACAAGAATTTGTCACTAAAACATGGCCTGCATGGTAAACTCCCATGCCAAATTGGAGAAAAATGGCTGATTACTTTTATTGCATATGTTTGTAGCTTGGGTTATTGTTAATACACTTCTATAATGGAACCTCGTTTAAATCTAGTTCATTTGCAACATTAAGTCTGTTTCTGCTCTTCTTTAAAAAGATAAAAAAAATTTGTTTCTTTTTTATTCAAATTTAAAGTAAATGAACAACTAGGTATAGCCCATGTTTCTTTTAAACTTCTGGAATTGGAAAAATATAAAAAGCAAGCCATTATTTCACAAAAAAATTTCAATCCTATTGACTGAAACATTTATATTTTGGAAATAATTCAGCGACACTCTATTCTTATACATTCAACTCAAACCACAAAACTGTTCCTGCTACGGGCCTATAGTGGTTTGTTTACTTTATTAAATATCCAAAGTTAGAAAACGATTGACAATAACTCCGATACTATGTGAAAACGGATAAAGAAGAGTTGTCGAATACATAAATATAATCATCTGTTTTATTGGTTTTCATATCTTTTTCATGTTTAAAAATTCGACACGTCAGGTACATATTTGACATGAGGGGTACCATTTGCAGGAGAGCGACGGCTCCGGGGCCCACTATGGCTGGATATTTGGACTTTGAGTGCTTCGATTGAAAAAACTAGAGAAGCCATTTCTAGGTTGAAAATTTTATTGAAATTTTTCAAAATTTGAATATTTTTTAGAATTAGCCACTGTTAAACAAATATTTTGGGTTTAATTCGAGTTGAGTTCAGTGACGACCTGTCTGGGACCCACCCACCCCTAGGAGAAAGTTTAACGATTTTGTAACGAAATCGACTTGTGTACATACCTGTCTGGACTTTTCCGGACGACATTTTTGACAACTGAAGTCTGACAACACGAAACAGAATGTCTTAGGGCTGCAGCGTTCGTTGTCTATCTTAAGGACGCCCAACTGAAGCGAAAAATTCAGCCCAGCTAAAATAATGCAACATAAGTTTGTAAACCTTCTCGCAGGTAAACAATTGATCTCCTCCTTAGGAAAGCCGAGCTACCACCTTAGGCAAATGTCTGGATGCTGACATAAACATATTTGCAAACACCTAGCAGGCAAAAAGTTGTTATCATATATAAAATCGTATTAGTATTCTCCGGGCAATCTTTTATCTTCGCATTTGCCAAAAATATATCACAAAATTGGAATATTTATGCTCAAATTAGTCTGTGCCAAAAATTCAATGTTTTTTGGGCCGTCAAGCAACCATTTTCAAAATTTAGCTTTCCCATACATTTCAAATTAAATTTTTTCACTACAGCAGCAAATTCCGATCAAATCTAAAGAAATATCTAAATATTCAAAACAAAGTAACTCGCCACCGACCGTTCCAAACAACCAGTGGCCGAAAACAAATTTTCTTGCTTCCTCTTTAATTGGAAAGGTCTTTTCAGCATTTTTTATTTATTTGATAATTTAGTATAGTAATTTATCTTTTCCCATCTTTGGGCAAGCAGCTTTTTTCTCAACGGTGGCTTTTTTTGCAAGTGTGAAAATCAAAATCGATCTGATCAGCCAAATGAAAATTCCAAATCTGAAGTCCATTTTTGAGAAAGGTCTGTAGTTAGCGAGCAGCAGAATCGATGATATCAAGCCGGAACGGTGAATATAAACATTCATGCTGTTTTTGGAAAAAGTTGCGTTCTCTTTCAATTCTTTCTCCTGGTTTCAAACTTTGGCAAATGACTGTAGAGATAAATTTATCCTTACTAATTGCTGCTCATTAACCAAAACATAAACTCCTATGTAAGAGGTATATTGTTATCCCTTCTGTCCTTATTTCTAGGCCAACAGGGCAATCAAGTTCTTGAATTTACAAAATTTCGTTGTTCTCAGTTTTATCGCGATTTAATAGTTTCTAATTTTTTTGCTTCGAGTACTGAAGTTTCTTAATTTTTTCTGACTGTCCTGTACTCGTTTCTTATAGCCATTTTCTTATAAAAAAGTGAGTGTAACCTCACCATCCTTGCGATATTTACATGATTGTCAATGGATTCATACAATTTGATTACATGAACTTTCATGCACTTAAAAACCAGTACAACAGTTTAAATTATTTTGGCAACCGAACCTTCCTCATTTTTTGTCAAAATTTTCCTTCAAACAAAATTTCCGGCTTTGTGTGCCTTTTGCATCATTGTCTTTTAAGGCTGGATAACTCACAAAATAAAAACATTACCGAAATTGTAAAAATTCAGAAGAGACAATTTATACAGTGTTCTGGTAATAAATGGTCTAGGGGTAAGTTGCGTTTGATATTTAATTCGTTCACTTTTGATAATCAAACAAGAACTTCCGTTTCACAAATAATTTCAGATACTATTCTGTCTTTACTGACCATTTTAAGACCGTATAACAATCTGCAAAAATCGAAAAGTGCTTTTATGGGACCACAATTTCTTGGACAAAAACATCGCGGATCGCGTTACACATAATGTTCAAGTTTTGAAAAGGAGTCATAAAAAGTCGTCATCTTGGTATGACATTAAATTTTATAATTGCTAAACTGAACAGAACTACACTGCAACTCAACGAAACCGAAAATTACTATACTAAACTTTTCTTGTAAAATATTTTCCCTAATAAAATTAACCTTCATCAAGGACTTCAGCAACTGGTCAAAGGAACCCACTGATAGCACGGTTTCTAGAGGGACTTCGGGTTTTAAGTTCCACATTTCGGTCAACTTGAAGCAAAATTTCTGTATTTAGCATCTGATAAATAAATTCTTGAGTTCGCGTGGTGAATCAAAATTTCTGGAAATGCTTACGTGTGTGGTTTATTTACAGCTAAACGCTAACGAGGAGGACTTATTATTATCTATTTATTATGCCATCAATTCTAATCAAGTGGTGCACACGGTTAATGCAGAGCTCAAAGACGGAACGGACTTAGCTCATTTTTTAAAATGCAATATAATTCGGCAACAATAAAGATTAAAGATGACTGGAAACTTCGACCAGGAATAACTATGAAAATAGCGAGAACAGACAAACTATACTACAACAAAAAATACTTCATTTATGCACAAGATCATTATCGCATAGACAGCATGAGGAAAATTACAGCGAGAAGCATCAACTGAACAATACCTTAACTTATTACATCAACTAGACAGAAATATCTTATTCTGCAAAATAATCAGGCAGAAAGGCTGACTTTTCATACTAAGATCGTTTTAGAGACCAGGGCTTGATTTCCTGCACCAAGGCTAATTTTTCGTACTTATATTATGTGAGTGGCCAAATCTGGATTTTCTTTAAAACAAAATATGTCTTATTTCTTCTTCACACATGTACAGAAGGTACCAATTTAGGCCTTTTCTGTTTAAAAATATTCAAAAATGGTCTATCAGCGTCGTCAAATATTCAAATGTTTCTCTAGCAAGATAACAAAACGTCTTTATATACTTTACAAAATTCGAAAATACTCTTTCAATATTACACGATACCTTAAAATAGATTATGAAAAACAGTCTTTTAAATATCAATCTATCCGTTACGCTGTCCTATCGCCGCAATTAGCAAAATTGTTGATGACGTCATGTAGGCAATGCGCGGCGGGGCCTGAGAACTGCCGGGACAGAACCCGATAATTTTTCAACGTTTTTGGAGTACTCAGCAAACACCATTGGTTTTGTTAATGTCTTTGATTCCATAACCCTTTTCAATCATAAACTGGTTGACAGTCGACTCGATGTCAGGAACTTTAATAATTACATCTAACACATCATCTTCTTTGTGTAAAACATCAACCTCGAGCACTTTCCTTCCGCAAATATCCAAAAATTCATCGATTGACTCTTCCGACCAACCAGCATCTATTGCTTTAACACCATGCAGACTGCACTTCACGGCCTGCCGTGGCAGATCGAAGAATTCCGGCTCTAGCTGTCTCATATGATCCAAGTGGACCCCGTCGATATTTCCATAGTCTATGAACTTAACCATGCAGCTTTCCTCGTCGCAAATATTAACCACTTCCCCACGGTACCACTCATTGTCTTCTGAGAATCGCGCGCAACAGATTGTGCCGGCTTCTGGGGCTTGTGAGAAGCCAGACATGTCACCTTGGGAATAGCGAGAACGTATGTTGCTCATAAGACCTATCAGTTCACACGCCGTATCATCAAACTGGCACCAAAACAAAGAAGGAGACACAGGGTGGGACAAATGCAGAAGAAGAGAACAATCTGGTTCAATGACCCGAGACTTGATACATTTTAAAGATGATTTCCCGGCACTTGACAAGGAAGTCGGAACAAATTCCTCCGCCTTGACGTTCAATGGTCCAGATGATGCTGTAGCTTCGGATTCAGGCATGACATCTCCTGTTGTCTCAATTTTTGATTCCTCCTGCTCTTCCTCTGCAGCCTGCCTATCAAACTTTGCGTACAGCAAGTCGTTAATTGACGCTTCGTGTCCTGCTTTATAAAACATACAGTCATAAACATCATCCACCTTACCGACCACCTCTACAGTCAATCCATGATCAATCATGATTTCATGAAGCCATACTAACGCTCTATCTAAGTCAATATCCGCGCCAAAAACATCATGCAACTGACATGCGATTAAAGTTACCGGAAGTGACGTGAACTGACTGGTCGCAGCCCTGACGTTTTCCTTTGTTACTTTGTCTTCATTTCCGTAATCGACAAAATAAACTCCGACCTGATTATCTTCCACACTCTTGACTTCTGCTCTATACCATACGCCATCTTCTGTAAACTTAGCTAAACAGGCAAGTTCTACTTCAAAATTTTCAATGTTAGAAACAGAGTTTTCGCAGTACGCCTCTATTTCTGCCGAAAGGGATTCGAGCTCAGTATGGAAACGCGATAACTGACAGGTAATATGTTGGACTGAGTCAACATGCACGGAGAATACACTTTCCTTAGCCCCTAGCTCCAATTTTGGCTGCACAAACCTATGAGCGATTTCACTAACAGCAGGTACCTTATCAGCATCAGACTGTGTCACAACTTCTTGTTCCTTAGTTTCCACAGCAACGGATATGTTTTCAACTTTTTCTACATTTTCTTCTGCGTTACTAGGCTCAGCTGGTGCTTCTTCTGTTTCCAGAGCAAATAGGGCGTACAGCTCGTCATTAATGTTGCATTCGGCTCCAGGCTTAAACAGGATATAATCATACAAAAGATCAGATTGATCGACAACTTCACCTGTCAACTCTTGTCCAATCACGTCAGTCTGAAGCCACTGTACTGCTGCATTGACATCAAGGTCTTTGTTGTGTACATCATGAAGCGAGCATTTAACTGCAGTGGCTGGAAGCGTCATAAACTCTCTTCCTATTACTCTAGTGTTTTCTTTCAACACTTTATCCTTATTTCCATAATCAACGAAATGAACTTCTACGTCACTCTCAATTACGTTGACAACTTCAGCTCTGTACCAAACGCCGTCCTCGGTAAACTGTGCTAAACAAGCCATCCCAACTTCAAAGTTTCTAGGCCGGTCAGCAGAGGTCTCACAAAACTGTGTTATTTTCTCTGAAACAGCATCAAGCTCAGCCTGGTAACGCAACAATTGGCAGTACATTTCGTGCAATGAATCAACATGAACACAAATCATATTGTCTGTGGCACCTTTCTCTAGATTTAGCTTGTCAAACTTAGCAATTTCAACGTTGGTACCTTGACTAGGTGCATCAAGTGAGTTTGATTTATCTGCCTTGGAGTCACCTGCTTCTTTCGACTGGGTAACCTCGACAGCAGCCTCCTGTACAGCAGCCTCTTTTACAGCAGCGTCCTGTACAGCAGCCTCCTGTACAGCAGCCTCTTTTACAGCAGCCTCTTGTACAGCAGCCTCTTTTACAGCAGCCTCCTTTACAGGATCTTCCTCCATCGCCCCTCCTGCACAGCTACCTCAAACAACGCATAGAGCTGATCATTAATAGTTCCGTCTGCACCGGGTTGTGACAATATACAGTCGTATGTGCCATCAATTATTTCAACAACTTCAACATTCAGCTCCTGCTCAAGAACGTTTTCCTGCAGCCATGTTATGGCGGCATTTACATCTAGATCGTCATTATGAACATCATGCAGGCTGCATTTGATTGACGTCTTAGGAAGAACACTGAAATCGCCAGTCAGTGCACGTGTCGCATTCAGAGACACGATGTCAGTGTTTCCGTAGTCAACAAAAGTGACCTTCACCTTACCATCAAGCACCTCTGTTATAACTGCCCTGTACCACATTTCATCCTCCGTGAAGCGCGCCAGGCACACATTACCAGCCACTGGTTCTGCTTGGCTTCCACCATCTCCATTGCAATACGTCTGCATTTGTTCAGAAAGGATGTCCAGATCAGGTTGATAGATTGTAAGCTGGCAGTAGACTTGGTGTAGTGATTCAATATGAGTACAAATAGCATTTTCCATCGCTTTCACCTCAATAGATGGATCCACTAGTTTCATTACTTCTTGTCCTGAGCTATCACCCTGAGCAATGTCCTTTTTACCGCTGCTTCCTTCTGCCAAATCGGCGGTAACAAATTTTGTTTGCACCAAAGCATTCACATCATGGCCATCAACAAATACCTTGGCTATACAAACTCCAGCATCCACCCTTTCGATCACAGCCACCTCAACCACTGCCTCCAAAAGTCTCTCCTCCAAAAATGTCTTAACCGCCAGATTTTGTTTGTTGAACGATGCTGTTCCTGCAAGATAATGATTGCAACACTTTATCACAAGAAATAAAGGTATGCTGTTATTACTGTTGTTGATGCTGTTGCATGTAATCGTTTGAATAGTTGAAAAGGGAGGAGTTTGAAATGAAAGAATGCAATTACACGCATTTTACATAATACGTAGTTTTGATTGATTGTCATATCAAATCATCCAAATGATAATAAACAGCTTTATTCTATGATGAAAAGGGATTGTGGTAAAAGAAAAGAGAATTGTCATTCACTGAAGGCATTCACACCGAAAGTTAGAACAAATTCAACCACAGTTTAAAATTAGGCCCGATTATGTCATAATTCGAACACGCCACTTATAAAATAATATGCCTTCCCAACTACTTTTATTGACAAGAAAAGTTTCTCGAGGTTCTACTCTGTTTGGGACAACGTTTTTGACACCTCACACCAAAGTAACAGCACAGTAGTGCCCGAATCGTTACACAAATGACGACATGATCATTTAGATTAACCATTCAGTTAATATCAATGGTGGACCATATTTTAAGGAGTCAATTTATTTTGTAAGTTGACAAAAGCTTTGAATTTCCAATCATTTATCCACCATCCCATAACAGAGACACTTTCACTGGGGATCATGAAAAAACTGGTGGTGAGCGTCAAATATCAACATAAAACTCAAATTCTGTGTCAATCGGCTGATCAAGGAATGTTTCCCTTCAGAAAGAGCTGTGACCGTTTATAAATTGAGTAAAACGATGGACTAAACGATGCATTCACCCTGAAGAGCGTTAAGGAAGGGCTCTCAAAACTTTCTATGCGTAAAATATATAGCACATTTTGATACATATACTTTCCGAACTAATTTCTTATTGAACTACGCTGCATTGGTAATATATTTAAACCATATTTTTAGTGCATGAATTGCTGTAAATCACTTCTTCCTTTACCTAGCAATTTTCAGGCCACAAAAACAAGAACTCCAATGAGAATTTACATGGGGTGGACTATTAGAAAACAACCTTTGTTGTCTACACCATTGCTCGCAGAACCCGATAAAGAATCAAATTTTTCCGCCAATAAAGATATTTGCCATGCGTGTAGATAAACATCGCCAAAAAATGTTGACAGACAGCTATAGAAGACAAGACAGGCGTGATGCAAATGTTAAACAAACCTTCAAGAAGGCAGGCGAAGCTTGCTTTGGGCAACTTCAAAAAGGGCTCTGTAATAGCCATGATCTGATTTTTGTTTACAATCCCTTTGTTTCCATAGTCAACATAACGCACGGTACACTGGTCCCCTTCTACCTTGATAATTTCAGCGCGATACCATTCGTTGTCATCCGCAAACTGGGCAAAGCATGCCATGCCGACTTCAAACGTAGTAGCTTGGCCTGTTTCTTCTGCGCAATAATGCGATATGTGCACCATCAGTTTTTCCAACTCCTCTTGTACATTTGAAGGTTGACAGTGCACTTGAAGAGCATCATCAACAAAACAACAAATGGCCCCAATACTGGGCGAGCCATCCAGTTCAACTTCTTTCATTCTTGCCAGCGCCCTTTTCTCATCACTTACATGGGCAGATTTTTCCTCCATAGTGGATGACGTAGTGACTTGACCTGCATCAGTGTCTCGCAATGAAGTGGAGGTAGCCTCCTCCAAAGGGACAGCTTCCTCTTCTAACGCAAACTTGTTGTATAATCCGTCATTTACAGTCTCTTCACTTCCCAGGTAACTCATGTTGACCTCAAAACATCCATTTGCATCTGCTTTTGTCATAAACTTGAAAGAATACTCGTTGTTGAGGCAGGAATCCTCCAACCATTGCTTCCCGGCAGAGGCGTCAAGATCTTCTCTGTGAACGTCGTGTAACTTGCATGTGATCCCTAAGGCTGGCAACTGCATGAACTCTTCAGTCATTTCTCGAACGTCTGCAAATGGCACTTCATCCTCGTTTCCATAATCGATGTATCTCAGTTTCAATATGTCACTCGAAGTTGATAATATCACGGCTCTATACCTGAAAGATAAGAAGAGGATTTTAAAAGCCTTGTAAAAACGTGAACTATGGGCAGAAGGAGCTTTAACGCTACAGAAACAAAACTTTGAAGAACCAAATGATGTCATTGAATACAAATAAGACAAGAAGAATGGTAACACTGCGCTATCAAGAGATATTTTCAGCATTCTCATTAATTCCTTGTAGCTATCAAACTTGATAATTATGCAAATTCATAAATGAACGAAAATGAACAAGATTAACTGACTGTCTTCAGAAATTAAGATTTTAACAATATTAATTTTTAGAAACTTCGATAAATTGAAAATCTAAAACAAAAATGCAAAAAATAAAATTCACTAAAGAAAAATAATGAGCCTTCTTACCAGCCCCCATCAACAGGGTACTTTCCAAGGCAGCATTGACCAACGTACGGCTTAGTCACAGGTCCGTCAGAATTACCACAATGCACTGCGATTTTATCCATCATTTCGTCGAATTCATTTGAGTACCTGAGCACGTGAGCCTCGACTGTGTCAAGTGATCTTACAAAACTGCACAGCATGTTTTCTGTTGAGTTGACTTCAAAATCAACTTTCGAGTATTTAAACTAGAATAAAGAAAAGTGCGAGATGCAGTCTGAAAATGGATTTAAGCTGTCCAACAACACAAAATCGCAGTAAACGAAATAAACAGCGTGGGTACGAATGGTACTGCGAACAGGCTATGCATGTTGTTTGAAAGTTTTACTTGACCACACTAAACAGAAACTAACTCACGTTTGTTTTGGCAGGTAGGGAATTTTTTTATAATATCTAGGTCTTGATAAAATAATATGCTAACTCTTATAATCAGTGAAAACTGTCCCACCTTTAAGAACAAAAACAGATGGCATCGGTCAGAAAATGGTGAATAGAATTTAATCTTGGGTTTCTTTGTCCACCATCTTAAGAAAGATATTTTGCTTTAACTAGCTGGTGCTTTGATCAGGGCATAAAACCGGAATCATTACTGTAATAATTACCTATAGTCAATACTGTATATACATATTATATAACTGTTATAATTAAAATTAACCCTGGGAGGCTCATGCAAAACTCTGTGCAAAACAGGGTCTTATTGAAGAGAGGAATTATTCGATCTTCTTTTTTGGATATCCATGAGAAAAACAGGATAAAAATGGAAACGACAAAGAATCTATTAAAACAAATTATAAGAAGCTATATAGAGGTGCTCTAATGCAAAAAAAAGTTATAATCGGTTGGTTCATGCAAGGGGGTCTTATTGGGGGCTTAATAGGGAAGGGGATATTGAAAACTGAATGAAGGGGGGCTTATTCAAGAAGAGGTTTATTCAAAAGAGGGTTAAACTCAATTGCAAAAGTATAGTGATTACCTTCTTGGCAGGAGCAGTAGACGTTATTGAGGTGTCACTTTCTTTCGGCAGTGTAGCTGAAAACTTTTTTAACACCATATCTTTGATCGACTCTCCAGTAGCTGATAAGGAAATATGGGCAATAGCTGAGGACTCGCCAGTAACATCCTTTACGTCAACAATCAGCTCTTGATTGACGCATTGCTCTTCCAGAAATGAAATTACGTCTTCTCTCACTGGGATTCCTGGCACAATGCAATCAAGACACGTGACCGACAGCTCGAGGTCAACGGGTCTTGCTTCTCGTATATCATCCAGAGGGACATCAGCTTCGTTTCCGAAATCAACAAACTTTACTGTGATTGCTCCACCAACCTTAACAATCTTCCCCCTGTACCACGAATCGTCTTCTGGAAAGAGCGCCAAACAAGCCTGGCCTACAACTGGATTCGACACCTTCTTGGAAATACCGTCGCAATATATGGATATGTCATCCATTAAGCTACCTAAGGGTCCTTCGTACTTTACAAGTTGGCAGGAAATGTGCCCTGTTGGCTTGACGAATGTGCCCAGAGCCTCGTATTTCGTTTCTTTGGCTACGGTCAATTCCTGAAATGAGGCTGTTCCTTGCGAGCTTGATTTTGCTGGCCTCTTTGCTTCTTCTTCTACTGATTTGCCAAACAAATCGTTGATATTATCGCCAGTGCTCTTGTCCTTCAAAACAACAGAAAATGATTCGCTGTTTGATGAGATCACATGCAGGGAGAACGTCTTGTCTGCACATCTACCTTTAAACAACTCTTTTTCTTGGTCGTTCCATGTGCCTGTTGCTGGCTGTGCGTACGCTAAGCAGCACTGAACTGCCTGCAGTGGCAAAGTTTGCATGTCCTCGGGAATTTCTTTAATGGCTTCATTCTTCACCCATTCTTCGTTTCCGTAATCAACAAACAGTAGCCTTGCTTCTCCCTGCCTCATTTCCAACACCGTGCCTCGGTACCAACTACCATCTTCACTAAACAGCCCAATACAACTTATTCCTTTCTTCACGTGACCCAGCATCGGCAAAGTACCCGCACGCTCGCAAATGGTAGTCATCAGGGCTTCAAATGGAATTTCATCCTTAGCCAACTGGCAATAAAACTTGCTTGGTGAAGTTCCATCAAGGAAATAGGCATCATAATCGCTTTCGATTTGCAATTCCGGTTTCTTAAAACTTGCCACATTTGCACTTGGACCTGGATTCGAAGGTGCCTTTTGCTTGGAAAGTTCCTGGGCGATGCTCTTGTTGCCACAAATCAAATCAACCATATATGTCCCACCTTGTTTCCCTATGACTTTCAGCGTCAACTCCTGATCCATGACACGGTTTTCAAAATCTGTCGCCGGTCCTACGTCACCAACCAAGCTGCACTTGACAGCAAACGCTGGTTCTTCCAACAAATCACCAGTCAACTCCTTCAGTTCTGCAATTGCAACTGAATCAAAATTGCCGTAGTCTACAAATTTCACTTTGGCGTGCGTTTGACTATCCAAACATTCGAGAGCAGCTCTGTACCAACCACCATCGACACTATACTTTGCAGCACAAGGTACCCCTGAGGCATATGACACAAGTCCACCTGCAGATCCAGCGTATTCATGGAGCCTTTCCATAAGGGCATCCAGCTTGCCAGTGTCTTCGCTTAACTGGCAATAAAACTCCTGCGCAGTAACAACATAACTGACAAACACCTTCAGTTCAGTGCCTGAACTCAGTGTTTTGTCATTGAACTCAACGATCACAGCTGGGGACTGGGCACTAGAATGCGTCATAGCGGCAGCTTTCTTCGTCTCTGCTTGCAGGCCAGGGTTTTTTGCCGATTTGCCAAAGCTAAGTGCCTTGCCATCAAGACATAAAGTAACAGTATTTTGTCCACTTGAGTCCTTCCCTTTAAATGCTACAGACACAACCTGATCCAGTGTAGTATTGGCGAACTTCTCGATGTCATCATTTCTAGACTGTTGAACGCCAGCAAAGGAGCATGGGATTGCTAGACGCGGGACTTTGAGCAATTCAGCGGGTACTGATTTGACGTTAGTTCTGTCCACCATATCGCTGTTGCCATAATCGACAAATCGCACCTAAAAATGGAGTAAGGAATTCATAATAAAACATTTTGCTGTGAAATATATACACGATGCATTTTCTGTTAGACGAAGCTTGAAAACCTTTGCATCGATTAGTTACTCAACAAATTGTCCAAGTAGGATTCTCGATTTTATCATCACAAAAACCAATCCCTGACAGACATTGTTGCAATTTCGCACTACCCTCGCCCCCATTTTGTTCACATTTTGATACCTCTGTCATTAGGGTACACTTGCTCACACTTTGAATTGGGGAAGGGGGTAGATGTTGGACTATTATGCAAGTTACCGGGCACGTGTTTAAGGGTTTGTCCCCACAGCTCTGTTTAAAGTTGTGGCTTCTATTTTAAGATCTGAAATCCATGCCGCCCATGTGACAACCCCCTCCCTCTACCATAACTAAACAATTCTAAAAAGACTGAGAAAATGACTAATTCTACGATAACCCTGTGTTTCTTGAAAAACAATTACGTATTTTAAGTAACATTGTTTGTTTAACAGTTGTATTTAGCTTTGAAAGGTTTTTCTATTTTTTAAGCGTGTTATCGATATTAGTACATTACATAGTGGGTTATATAAAGTTTGCATTTTAGCCTGAATTCGTTGTGCCTACTTTAATTAAATCAATGATAATATCAAAAACAACAATAACCAAAATATAACTATCAATATAAAGACATAAGTCGAATATATAGACTTAATATATCAATCTATACGTCAATTCCATAAAGACGTCGATCCTCCCATTCTAACTAATAAATCCTGGCTTCCAAAGTCGACCCTTTAAGTAAACCTAGGCAATCAGTTGGATGTTTAAAAAAAGCAAGCAACAGAAATGAAGAAATCCGTTGCCATTGCATTCTTCAATGTTTCTCTATCTCCGTGTGTTGCAGAACATACTATAAACAAAGTATGCATGCCTTTGAATGGAGAAATAGTCCACTTGTCGTCGAACATTGCGAGTATGAGAGGTTACAAGGAGGATACGACTGCCGAGGGGATCATCAATTCTGATAATTCTTTTTTACTATTTCGAAACTTGAAATATGATTTTTCTTTCTAGAATACAATTCAAAGTTTACAAAAACTTTCAAATCTTTCACTTCACTTTTAGCCTCTGATTTCTTGACGCCAGCTATGTTTCTAATCTGAAAGCCCCTCTTCCCTTAGATTCCTCGATAACTCTTGCCTCTGTCAACCAACCTTTACATCAACTGTGATTTGCAAAAGTCTAGTAATGACACAGAATGCAAGCGAACATACCTTTATTTTACCCCCATTGTTTCTAAAACTTGTCCACGGTACCATTGGCCATCCTCGGAAAAAATCGCACAGCAAACTTGCCCTTGTACAGGCTGGTTAAGGCTAGGAAAGTTACCCGCTTTTGCCACTTGGGTAGCAACGAGATTGAGGTCAGCCTCAATATGACACGGCTGAACATAGAACTCAGTCAGGGCTTCGATGTGAGAGATGTAGCAATCGAGGCTGGCGCCAGGGTTTATCTTGATATCAGCAAAGGCAGTTTGTGAGTTTGATGATTGGCTGCAAAACTGTCTGGCAATCGATTCATCTGCTATGGCTAATTCGAAAGTGTCAGATCCAAGAGGTTCCAGTTTACCTTGAATTGAAAAAACGTAAAGCAATGATTTATGGGCAGGCAACGCCAAGAAAAGGCACCAAGAAAAGGCACAAAGATAGGCTAAACTATTGAATTTCTCTAGAAAAATACCGTCACTACTATTATTTCTGAGCAAAAATCAAAATAGTAAGTTAAAATAATTTTTCAACTATGACACGAAAATCAAAGCATCTATTATCAAAGCATCATTATCAAATATGGAAGTTTCAGGTTATTACATGGTTAACGACATGAATTAAAATTGGGGGGGGGGCGAGAGATAATGCAGAGGCCAACGAACCTGTATAACAGCCCACAATCTTATAACTGTACAGTTTTTAGCTCACAAAAACAATGGTCCGTACCTTTCAGCGTTTTGTCAAAAACAATCTCTCTGAATTTCTCCAGACCGCTCTCATTGGATGGCATCTTTGCGTCTTTCAAGGAACATTTGATGGAAAACGACGGGATGTTCAACATGTCTTGAGGTAATCGGAAAAGTTCACTGATGCTCTTTTCTTCCGCATTCCCGTAATCAACGAACCGGACTGTTACATTTGAACCGGTCTTCTTCTCAACTACCGCTCGATACGGTGCCTGGTCTTCTGAGAAAATAGCAATGTATGGGAGCCCGGGTTCTACAGTTTGGATACCGGCTTTTTCCTTTGGGACTTCTTCAAGCTTTTGCATGAGCTCGTCAATCTTATCGGTATCTGAAGCGTCTTGAATGTATATTTCAGATAGAGAGTCTACATGTGTGACGTAAAAACTAATCTCGACACCTGTCTTGGGCTTTGGAAGAGGCAGTCTTGCACTTGCTGAATTCCTTAGAGGCTGACGTACATCTCTCTGAGGACCAGCGGGGGAGTTCTTCTGCGTTGCAAGTTTTGAGGTTAAGGCCATGCCAGATTCATCACGAAGCTCGACCAGGTATTTCCCACCCTGTTTCGCCTTCACAGCCATACTGATTACCTTGTCTCCAGTCAATTGCAGTAGGAGATCTGCCGCATTATCTTTCCACATTAAATTGCCGTCGTCTATTGAGCATAGAAGGGCGTGCTTTGGTTGCTCTAGAAATTCCGATGCCGATTCTCGTAATGATGCCATCTTCACCTCTTCGAAATTGCCGTAATCTACAAAACGAACTCGGGCTGAGCTGCTTCCACGTGCATCCTCGATTTCTCCGCGATACCATCCATTGTCTTCACTAAACATGGCACAAACTGCTTTTCCGGTTGTCACAGATGAGACTTTTGGCAAACTGTTGACCTTCTTTGCGATTTCATCCATTACTGAAATAGAAAACATCTTGAACTGTGAAATTGACATGGGGAAAGAAAGAAACAGCTAACAACTCCAGAAGGTTTATGCTGAATAATTGCACTGTGCTCAAAATCCCGTTGCACTGAAAAATTATTAGACACGCAATTCTGAGTTACAGCTAAAAATGTAAAGTTATCACAAATCGATATGATCTTAAACTGCAATCATTCAGATCAGAATGGTCAGAAAATGCAATAATTTTGTCTATTAGCCTTTGGCTTTTTGGTTTGTAGTTAATTTTTAGTTTGTAAGCAACTCAGTGGTGAATAGGCACTAAAGAAAGGTTGCAAATTCTGACGTGACTTTGGTTTGCTATCCTTGATTTGGCTGTAACAAACATATATATATATGTAAATAAAACCGCAAAATGTTTCTGCAATACTCACAGGCATACAAATCATTCTCTGTTCGTGTCAATTGACAGTATATGTTACTCATGCCATCAATGTGTGCCACGTAGACGCTTTCCACTGCGCCAACATCTAACTTACGATTGTTGTACCCCTGGTTTTGATTTGACGAAGCTGCTGCGATCCCAATACCTTGACCAAGAGCTGTCTCAGCAAGGCTTTTTCCATCTTCGAAAAGCGAGACTTGATATGGGGGTTGTTTTGTATGAAACTTGGCGCTGAGTACTTTGTAATCGAGCATTGATTTAAATCGATCGACGCTGGATGTGTCCCAGTTTCCAGATGTAGATGATATCTGCAAAACAACAGAAATATTCAGCGATTCTCAAAGGAAGGGGGGAGGTTGGTTTTGGAACAGAGAAACTCTACTTATCGAGAAGACATTCTCTCAAAATGGAGATAGCGAGTTTAAATCCCCTTTCTCTGGCCAACAGAAATACTTTGAACTAGAAAGTGTTCCAAGAAATACCTGCAACTCCCTTTGCTTAACATTCAAGCCACGTTGGACTAGTGATTCAAAATCCCTGCGTTCGAAAGTATTGAGCCTTGTCTATCTATCTGGCACTTTGCAGTTTTGAAAAGGGGAATTTTACGTTTTTGGTAAGTCCCATTATATCATTAAGAGCAATGGTTTAGATTATTGCATGGAATTTAGGGTAACTGAATATATCATGTTAAGACTATAAATACATTTTATTTATAACAACCATCATTTTTCAGTGAATTATAGCCCCATTACGTCTTTAATTTTCATAAACTTATAAATGGTTCTGTCTCTAATCAATTTTATGGTCCTTCCCGACATTAGAAGTAGCAAAATCAAACCGTTTCTTAACTTCAACTCGATTTTTTTAATGAAAACGAACTTGGTTCAAAAGAAGATTTAAGCAAAAGTTCTACCCTTATTCAATCAAAGACCAGATTCGTATCAAACGAAACACTGCTCACAACACTTCTCTTATGGCACTAATAGACAATGTTTGGAAGAAACCAACTGGCAAAACAAAATAAACAGTTCTAATGATGGGTTTTTCCACCTCGTGAAACAGTGAACGAGTCCAACTTAACGATGGGAATAAATTTTTGTTCCCTACGTTTCCCCTGTTGTCAAGGCCCCAGAAACACCTTTAAGGCAACAGTAACTCCAAACATGAGAAAAAAACTCTGTCCTAAAGGCATTCACTATATTGATGCTGTATTGTACGTGTTAAAAAGCCATGGCATTAGAATAAACAAACCAATCACCTACCCCAGCTAACGAACAGTGTAGACCATAGGCCGCATCTTTCAGGAATTCCCCCTTCAACTCTTTCAAATCATTCAATGCAACCACCTCGCAGTTCCCGTAGTCAATGTACTGAATTTCAACTTTCGCTCTATCGACAACTTTTACGATCCTCGCTCTGTACCAGGCCCCGTCTTCACTGAACTTTGCCGCACAAAGGCTTCCCTGTTTCGGTGACGTCATCTTTAAATCATTAGGCCCAATATTTAAGTATGTATCTTCCAATTTTCCCATTAAAATCTCCACTTTTTCGGCTACAGATGTTTGCTGTAAAATAACATGTTTTATTGAAAATTGCGAAAAAACCAAGATCTGCTGAGTGATACTCCTCTAAGCCCAAAAAACAAAAAGAATGAAATCAAGATCCTTTTGGTCTAAAGCCATTTAGGCCGAAAGATCTACCAATATTTGAACTTCATCCTTATCACCTACATTGAATAATATAGCATATGGTTCAACTTCTATGTGCTCAAAATAATAGACTCTAATACCAGCCGTTTCTTTGCGACACTTGCTTCAATATCTTCGTTATAAACATTATAAATTTTGGATTAGCTAAAGAAAGTTGCATTGGAAGCAACTTAGCATCACCGTTTACAGAGTTCCTTTTCTACTGAGCGTTAAAATTCCCGATACATCCAGGGTCGTCACAACTAAATACATAACAACAACAGAGAGTATATTAACAGTTGCCTGATGATGGCACCAGTCGTAAATTCAGAGTAGCAACTGAGAACCATCCCACTCTATACAACAAAAGCGAATTTCTTTTCTAAGCGGTTTTCTCGTATATGAAAATAGCAGCCCAGAACTGTCTAAACACTCTTATAGGCATCGTCAAAGCCAATTTTATTCGATTCTTACAAAAAATATACAAAGAAATCATTAACGGTGTAAGAAAATTACCTGACAAAAGAACGAAGATGGATTCTCGACAAACGTGATCTCAACATCTTCTTGTTCTTTGACATTGACAGTTGGGATCTCTGATGAAGAACCTTGGACAGGCCCACCTGCAGAGCTAGCTGCACCCACAGAGCTAGCTGCACCCACAGAGCTAGCTGCACCCTGGGTTGGAGCAACGGCCTGTGCAAAACCTTTTTCTATCAACAATTCCGCGATACTTGTTTGTTTTTCTCGATTGGTTAAAGTGTCCAGTAATTCGACGTGATGTAAGTTGCTTTTGTCTGAAAAGAGAAGTCTACGATTCATTTTTGAAGACAAAATCATCTTGAGCAATACGATAAGGTTACGTATGACAAAAACATACTTAGATTAGAAGAGCAAAATATATGCTTGAAGTTATTTGTAAGAAGAACGATATCCCGAACTCATTCAGCATCACCGAAACTGGAAAAAATAATACTAACAACTTATACAGAAAACAAAGATAAATAAGGAAAAATAGTAACAATTGCATATTACATATCAACAAATAATGTTTTTCTATTCGAAACTTCTCAATTCTGAAAGTGAGATTATTCGTATTACAAAAATTACTATAATGCCATTTGACTGACCAATATAAGAAATTGAAAATCAAGAACAGCAAAATTCGATTCAAGCTTCCGGAAGGCCCATTCTGAAGAGATTTATTTTATATTGCCTTTTTCTGTTGAAATGATATCATATTTAATAGTGCCGGACACCTAGAGGGCGAGGGGGAGATCGCCCCCTCCAAATATTTTGGACGGCAATGGTCATTTTTTCTTTAAAAAATGGAAAAATTTGACGCAACCTTATCAAAACAATAGACTCGCCCCTCCCCCAATATTTGACCAAGGTCCGCCCCTGATATTAAGTATTACGTCACTTTTTGTTATAACACGCATTGTGTGGAAACATAATTTAACAGAAATTGCTAGTCTAAAACGGCGGCTATCTCAAATCTAGAAAAATATGCGAAAGTAAATGGTTTCAAAATTCTTGTAAGGAAACAAAGCGGAATAATGTTTTTCCTTTAAAAAAATACAACCTGATTTTTTAGCCAGAGCTTTTTTACTACAATAAAAGCTATATCTTCAGGGGTAAAAAGGTGCCCCCCTTTGGAAGAGTCGCTATTTCAGTGGCCTCCCGCTTATGGCCTGTAGTTTCCTCAAACGGAACTCTGGCGACAAGGGTAGACATTTCCAGTTAAAACTTGGGCGCCCGAAGTTACCCGGTGTTATAATAAGCGGCCTCCCGCAGATACAAAGGGGTCGTCCCCGGCGCGCAGGAGACCGAATTGTCCATTCCTGTTCTTTCAGCTGGGAAAGCAATTTGGATCCATTCTGCTGATCTGAATATTTCCATTTCATGATATTCGGTTTTAATCTTATATCCACAAAGACAGGTGTTCACCAAACACTAATTAGGTTTAAAGCTGTATCAAGATTTGCGACTGTCCTAACTTGGAAACTTCTGTTTGTTTAGAAATTACTTGTCTGGGAATCTTGCGACTGTTGCAAAATAAATCACATCATCGGAACCGAAATTCAATGATATCGTAAGAAACAAATTGATTCGTTTATAATGGCCATTATACACTGAACATTCTTAACCGAAGCAGTTCAGATGCAATGATTAATTCAACGCAAATTAAGTTTAGGTGAAATTCACCGGATGTGAACCTTTAGCAAATTAAGGTTGCAGAGATGCGTGTACCCGTATTCCATAATAATACCCTTTTGGGGTGTATTGCTGGGAAAAAAGAAGGGGCACTCCCAAAAATTTTCAAAAAAATTCTCACAACAGGCCTTTTCAAGCTATTGTATTTATGATTTTTAAAAAACCTGCAAAATCAAAGCTGAATAACTTTCTTCAATAGGATCGGGCAATAAAATGGCAACAGAAAACCAATTAGCAGAACTTCGTGCAGAACTTCAGGAGAAGGGCGTTATAATATGTCCACAGAAACCGTTTCATACGTTGCCTCATTCCCTTGTTAACCTTTCAACCACAAATCCTAATCAATTTATAAACTTCAAAAAAGAATAAGGTTTTTATTTATATTTTCAATTTTCCTACTCTTGATAAATATTTGAAAACAATTTAAAAACCCAATTTAAGAATAGACAGAAAGGCCATCAAACTTTAAAATTTTGATAATATTGACATTCCGGATTTTCTGACGACTTCTGTTTTTGGTTCAAGGTTCAATTTTGAGTTTATAAATACACATTTATATACTTGCATACCTTTTCTCTTGACCAAAACGATCAACTGCTTTTCAACGACCATATTGGAAAACTCAGTTATACAAGCTTTTGACCAACCACTGCTGTCTTTGGGTCTGACGTCACCAAGCGAACAAACAAAGGCCTGCGCTGGCAATGACATAAACTTTGCATACATTGGTCTGATGTTGTCACGTGAGACTGTTTCGTTGTTACCATAATCAACATAGCTGACGTCAACCTGTTGGCCTACTGCACGTACCAAAACTGCCCTGTACCAAAGATTGTCAACTGGAAGAGAGGAGAAAGAGAATCAAGACACTAGCTCACTTAAATAAACCATTGCTAGGGCAACTGAACTTATAAGGCAAACTGGAGATCAATGGGATTCTTTGGGGGGGGGGGCAACCAGCCCATTCTTGAAATAAGGTTTACCAGGTTTCTTTAGAAGTGAACAAAATTTTTTGGGTAGTGGCTGTATTCTTTTTTTAAATATTTATCTGTTTAAAGCAGCATTGATAGGAAGGTGTAATACTGAGATCACACAAATGTAAGTCTTTCTGTAATATCAACAGGGCAGGGTTTCAACAATTTGTGGCTCAGCCTTTACTGCTACAGTCTCTGCTCTGGAAACTATGGAATTTTGCTACCATGTTCAACTACCACATTCATACAGATATACAAGAAACTGTTATCCTTAATGAAAGAACAACTGGATGCATTGGATGCATCTGGCATGCATTGGAAGAACAACAATAATACTCCAGTTTCTTTTTACACCCTGAACCTAAGAAAATCATATAGGACCCAACAATATCTTATTATTGTCAAATCTATGTATGGTCTCTGCTACTATGAGTCACATAAAATTCTAATCCAAAATGAAAACAAATCAAACTATCTTCATTTTCAAACCCCATTCTTTTTACTCAAATGTTCAAAGCAATGTTTAGTGTGACAATCAACTGAGCCAAGTAAAGGTTAAAACATAAAAGACCTCTAACTCAAAAGAGCTTCATCTTTAAATAAGAGACCCATTATGTATTTGTGGAAGCCTGATATAAACAAACAAAAGGCATGTACAATACACTATCAGGCAAATTTTTACAGAAGAATTGCAAATTCTGAATGCTGTTTCTTGGTACAAAATATATCATGCTGTCCTGGTGCAGACCATAATGATCCATGATTAACACACATACAACATGCAATGCAACACAAATCTCAAACTTTTACCTGGATATAAGGCAACACAAGGCATTCCGTTCCTCAACTGCATGTTCCTGGGAACCTGGCTATTTTTATAAGCATTTTCCAGCTCTGCCATCATCTCATCTATTTCATCAGATTTCTCAAAGAGCTGGCAACAAAACTGGTCTGGTGAGACAACACTTGTTGGCATTACATCTACATAGTCACCAATTGGAACTTCAACTTCTGTATATGGCTTATTGGTTACTGTAGGTCCAAGGTTTCCTGAAAAAGAAAGCAAAATTTAGCTGAAACTTCCGATGAAGCAGGCTGCATATCGATAGGTACCATGTTAAAAAACTAAACAGGATATCAATACTGTTCAAGAACTTGGAAACAGAAATCAGATAAAATATATGATACAGAAACTAAATTCTAAAATTCAAAATCCATTTCAAAAGTATATACTGTTTGTTTCAACAGAAACTCTCTACCACACTGTACCTATTGTGCCTAATTTGTAAAATTATTTAAAACCATTAGAGAACCGGACATTTCCTTCACAAGAATATTCTAGTTCTTCACCCATTGATTAATGCAGAACTTTAAAGTGCTATACAATTGTTTACCCCTTAAGGTACACAAACAACTGGCCTGAAATTGTCGTATTTTTTATTTAGAAAGGATGATGATTATTGGGTGAGGAAGTGCAGAACAATAAAAGTGGAAGAAAAATGCCAAAGGGAGACCCAAGGAAACATGGAAGGAAGTAAGCAAGTCAGATCTGAAGCAAAAAGGTGTCACCAGAGACTTGGCAAAGAACAGACAGGTCTTGAAGTCAATTTTAATGAACCATCCAACGCATACCAGAATGTAAAATGGAGGTAAAACAGAATATGATGATGATGATTTATTTAAGTTCAATGCAGAAATGAAAAGCAAAGAAAGATAACAAAAAGCATACCTGTGAAACTGGATTTTGCCTGTGAAGCTAAGCCAGATTCAATTAACACCTCTGCTGCATCAAACCTTGCTACATTGCTGTCATTTTTTTCCACTAAGCTTACTTCTGCACAACCGTCAGAGTCAATTTGCATGATACTGATGGTAAACTCTTTGTCAATGACCATATCATTGAATTTCTTGCATGCATCTAGTGAAAAGTTGCCACTAGCAGGAATCTCAATTCCAGAAAGTTTGCACTTGAAAGCCTGCTTCGGTAGCTTTAGATACTCCTTTTTTAAATGTTTCAACTCGTCTGCTCTACATTGTTCATCATTTCCATAATCAACAAAGAATATCTACAAAAAAGCCAAAGAAAGTTTCACATTCTGACAGCTCCTTTCATAATCACAACTTCAATCATAATCTGAAAGTTGTTTGGTTGCCTTGGTTGCCTTAAGAACAGCCCTTTGATTTATTTCCATCAGAAAGTTCTTTGCTCGAGACTTAGGCCAGCAACTAGGGCTAGGAACAAAATAATACTTTTTCTGCTTCACAGATAAATATTGGGTATGGGAAAAGTTAAATTTGAAACACTTTAAGTAATTCGTATTGTATACCTGAAAAGTAACATATCATAGAAATAAATAAAGTTCATTGATTTCCACAAAAAAATGTTATTGTGTCTAACTTGGGGGTAAATATTAAGGTAAATAACCCTTTAGGGTGCTGATTTGAGGGTTTACGGTATTCAGGTATGCTCTGTTTCAAAACCAAAACACAGACAGACTGAAATTCTCAAATACACAAAGAGCAAGGTTAACTTTTTAAGAATTGCAAAAAGAAACATGCAAAATGTTTCCACAACAACAAGTGCATATTTGCAATGCTAAATATAAATGCATACATAATATTATTGATACCCATACCTTTGCATTCAGACCTTCAACTTTGACCAGCTCTGCTCTGTAGAACCTGCCATCTTCACTGTACCTTGCACAACATGGAGTTCCTGGTTGAAATATCTGCAGTTTCTGTTGTCCTGGCTTCAAACTGGCATACTCATTATTCAAATCATTCATCATGCTATCCAGGTTTGTAAGATTCTTCGCTACCTGGCAGCTAAAATCAAATGGTGATACTGCGAATGCTACATAGCCAACTTCAGCATCACCTGGGTTCAAACTCATACCCACAAAATGTAGCTGCACACTTGCTTGACCAACACTTTGTGAACTGAAGCTTCTTCCAGAAGATTCCTCTTTGCTTTTCTCAAATACTACTTTGCTTAATTTACCAAGCTCTTTGTTGACATTTACCCCATCCCTTGATTCTGTTGTGTCATAAATTGTTAAAAGGACTTTCCCTGAGTCCTCAACTGTATTTACAAGGCCTACTAAATCTTTATCTATGATCATGTCTTCAAATTTCTTTACAATTTCTTCATCAAATGCAGCTTCCTGGTCAGCTGGTTTGATACCACAGAGACCGCAATGGAGACCTATAACTGGGAGATTGTGGAATTTGGTGAGTAATTCCTTTATCACTGAAACCGGGAACGCTTCTCTGTGTCCGTAATCAACAGCCTGCACTTCACACCTGTTGCCCCCATGCAATTGCTTTATGATGCCTCTATACCATCTTTTATCTTCTGAGAATTTTGCACAACAGAATTGGCCAACATTCATGTTTACCAGATTGAGACTGTCATGTTGGCTTGAGCTATAAAATTGCTGCAATTCATCATCCATCTGCCTGAAACTCTCCCTATACTGAATTGGTTGGCAGTAGAAGCTATCCAAGCTATCTGTGTGTGAAAGGCACAAATCATAATGAGAACCAGCTTTAAGATGTACCTCTCCTGGTCCACCTGGTTTAGCAGTGACGGACAGTGAAGCGCTAACTGAGCTGGAGGTGCTAGAGCTTGACTGGCTTAATGAGGACTTCACTTTTTTCCAGTGGGCAAAACCAGCAATCACAAGTTGTTTGGCAACCACAACTGATTTCTCAACATCTCCAAAAAGCTTTATCACTACAGCTCCTGTTTTACACAAATGGGTTGGGACCCCAACAAGCTCTCTGTCCAGTACCAACTCCCTCAAAAGCTTTATTGCCTTCTTGCTCCAAATTCCCCCAACTGGGTCTATGTTTGCCAGACGACATTGAATTGCCTGTGGAGGCAGCTCTCTGAATTCTTCTGGGATCACTCTTAATGCTTTCCAAGGCAATACCTCACCGTTTCCATAATCGATAAAAATAAGTTCTGCGTTATCTTCTTCATCTATGCTCAAAATTTGCCCCCTGTACCACAGCTCGTCCTCGGTGAACTGCGCAACACACAGCTCACCAATTCCAGGAACTGAGCTGAAGCATGGAAGCTTGCCTGCCGCAATTGCCGATTCCATCTCCTGGCTGAGCCGTTCATATTTCACTGATATTGAACTGTCGCTTTGCTGCAAGTAAAAGAAACCACTGTTGTCTTCAATATGTGTCACATACCATTTACTTTCTTTTCCAAAATTTAGGCCAGTCGGGCCTAAACGACTCGTTGTCAATGCACCGGGAATCATGTTTAATCTTGAAGGAAAGAAAACATCTCTTGCTGAAAATTATCAAATGTTAATTTTCCCTTGACTCCAATCAGTTCTCTTAAAATTTGTTGGCATTAGATGGACAAAATGCAACCTGACTTGCAGGCCATGTCCACAAACCCACTCGCTGCACGAGGACTAGAAGGTGACTGCGCATGTCAGTTTGATGCACGCTTAGAGTAGCCGCTGGTCATGAGATCCGACAAGCTTGTTTCTCTATCTCATTTGAGACACCAGATTCTCCAGGGTGTGTCCTTGTGTGTGTAATTACGCGCAATTTTCCCACTCATAAAAAGATACTAAATAAAGATTTTACGAAAAAGAGCACACCGCATTCTTTGACTTTCTTTGCATGTTATGCGAGCCGAGGAGCTGTTTTAATTTTATCAATTGCACTTTGTGATTTGCCAGAATTCTGAACAATGTCCAACTATGCAAAAAGTTCTGGCTTTTTATTAAAAAGTGTTATGAACAGATGTATGTAATATTTTCTGTTCTACCGAGTCGTTTGCCATTAGGCAAATTCCTTACTCTCCCACAATTGAAATATACTAATAATACAAATTAGGCTAATGGGAAGAGCGGAAACGTGAAAGCAAATTTATTAACTGGCCAAGTGCAATGCTGACAAATGGGAGAAAAGGAGGGCTAAAGCTGTAAAAGACACTAAGGGATTTCGAAATAAAGTGCCTAATCATCCTCATTAAATAATTTGCTAATAATCGAGCCAGAGAAAACAGAATAATTCTACAGCTTCGATTAACCGTTATTCCTATCTGTTTTTTTCACAATAAATTCATAAAAAGGCCCCAGATTTCATTGGACTTGAAATTCTCTCCTAATTTGAACAAAATGAGTATTTTCATTTCAATTTAATTTTTTCATTTTCTTGGCATTGTTAAAATCAATATAGAAATATGCTGAATCAACTGGAAACAATGCATGCACGAAGGTAAGAAAGGATTTCAAGAAATGTTTAGATTAATTTTCGAACCTAAACTAAAAAATTTTCCCACGTCTTGTCTGCAATGACCCAAAAAGCCACTGACTCTTTCCAAAATCAAAGTTTCTCACTTGCTTTTCTAGCTAACAATTTTTTTATTACCTGCTAAGCATTACGCGAGTGTGCGCGGGACCGATCTCTCCCCAATGGAAATAAAATCTTTTCTGCTTCTTTGCCGCCATGTTTTTGTCAAAGATTATCATAAGAACAAGAACAAAAGTATTTGCCAAAGAGCCCGCTGTGCCATTGATTCCCCCTTTAAACAAAACCATTTGGCTAAACATTGCTAAGACTCACATTTGCTAAACATGTGGTTGAGAAGCGAAGTATGGCAATGACAACAAAACTCTCTTCATATGAAGCCATAAGCTGCCTATTGCTTGGAGCAATATAAGTGGCAGCCTTGGAAACACAGGGGTCAATTTGCTGCCATAGGGAATAGAGAACAGTTAACGCCTCTGCAGTGGAATGCAGGATTCTTTGCAAGGTTGACGAATGGATTTGTGAATCAAGTACGAGGTCAGTCAACGGACAAGCTTATTACCTCTTTGATACTCCATACTTGTGTTCTGAAAGGCAATACCAACATGCTCCATTTGAGTAGCTGACTTTAACTAAGATATCTTTGAAATCATATCACCATTAGCAATTCTTTTCATTAAAAAGAACAAATGTGAAATGAAACTTTGTTGATAATGACATATAATTCAATTATCTCTTAAACGTAAACATCAGAAATCAAGTTTCAAATTATTTTCACACATGGCAACAGTGCTGCTCTTGTGTGTCAAAAATCTTATTTCATCGAGAGTGTCAGTTTTTTCAGTTTTAAAATATATAATAGAAAAACCATAACGTGATGTTGTACCGAAGAACGAATTTGTAAACAACTGCTTTATATTCACAAAAAGATAACTCACGACCTTCGATAACAACACGTGCCCAGGTATAACACGAGCCAGAACCCAGAAATCTGAAAAGAGCAGGTATAAAAGCAGAGATAAACATTTTGATTTACATGTCGTAGTCAAGACTCTTCATCTCTGTGCGTGAGACCAGTGAACAGATCTATAAAAGCAGGGGGAAATTGCCAGGAGTGTGGGGCTTATGGCACCCTTCTGGCAAGGCACAAGATGTTCGCAGGGCATTTTAAAACTTTGACAAAGCAACATTCTTAGTCAATCTCCGGTTTATAATTTGACGGGAATGCTTATTCGTAATATAAACATTGTAAGAGTAGCGAAAAACTTGCAGCTTGAAAGGGAAAAGGAGCAAGGCGGAATGAGGAAAGATAGAACGTGGGAAGGGAGCGAGAGAGAAGGTGGCAGGAGAAAAAGGGGCAGGAGAAAGAGGAGAAATAGGGGCAAGAGAAGGGGCAAGAAGGACCTGGAACGGAAGCCAAAGTGGGGATGGAAAGAGACAACAGGGAGTACAAGGAAAAGGGCCAGAAGGATTGGGGCAGCAGGGAAGGGGGCGACAGGGTAGCTGCTAAAAGAGAAAATGCGGTTGTTCTAAACTTTAGAACAAAGTAAACTTTAAACTTTAGAATCTAAAGTAAGATAGAAATTAGCGGAAGTTGTGACAACATGAACGCGGAAAGAGAACGGCACTGGATTACATCAACCCTCTTTCCTTTCTATCAAAAACTTTGTGCAGAAGCAAAAGATCATTCTAGCATGTTGTACATTTTGAAATGCGAAAAACAAGCCATTTCTCAAAACCGGGCTCCAATTGCGAAATAAATTAGTGCAATGGAGGCTACAATAGTGAAATAAATTTATACCACCCCCTCCGACCAAGGCCCTCTGACGTCATTGCAGAAATGACGGCTTGATATTGCTAAGCTCGTTGCGGAGGAGATAGCTGTTTCGTGCTGCTCGCGAGGTGCTGTCCGAGTGCTGTCTGGAACCGGAAGCCGAAAGTGTTTTTGCCTCTTGATTATTGGAATTCTTGTGGTCTTCTGCAATGTTGCTATTCCACAGCATGGCTTTCTAGGTCACGCGTTCATTGTTGTTTAACCCAAATTCCGAACATAGAAAGCGAGATCAAGAGATGTGGAGGACAGTCTCGCCCGCCCCTGCTATTTAAGTTGGAGCAAGGTCATGATCTACCAAATTATGCTCTGATTTGAGGTAAGTTTGAAAATGCTATTGCTACAATTGCCAAGGGTATGCAAGATCTATTTCTAGAGTAGTTAACAGCCGGCAAACAATGGTTTACTGATACTTCAAACGGTAGATGTCTTCCACATGCATACTTTATGAAACAAATGTCGATTGCAGTAAAACAAAAGTAATTGGCATAGAATAAGAATTAATAGTTCACGCTAATAAGAACACTTTATATTTTTGGATCCGCAGCGGAATTATGGTTGCTACTGTAACCGTATTGTGCGCAACATGAAATAGGCAGCAACCACTAGTGGTAGCAACACCTATTTGTTATCAGTATCAGCATCAGTTTTAGGTTTGAAGTATAGCCCCGTGATCACATGCAAACACTGGTGGAGGGTGTCAAGGGAGTGCTTCCAAAAACATGTCACAAAACCACGCCGTTAAGAGTGTTCCAAGCACCTTCTCGATATACTTGCAGCCTTTGCTATTCAGCTCTGAAAATAAAGTGGGGTAGCTTCCTCTAACTTGGATTTGGATAAACAATGATCGAATATGGCTCGATCCCTGTTTTCACGAGTTTGTTTTTCGACCCTTTCTTGTTTATGATGTCTAAATAGCAAAACTACGCAAATTTGGTGCATGCTCTTGTAGACCTATCGAAGCAAGGACGAGCGTGTAAAGTTTCTCAATCATTGAGAGATTCTATCTATAAATTTCTTTATAAAAGGCCTTTTTGTCAATAACGTGTATGATGCCTCTACTTTTTGGTGTTGTTGTGTTCGTTATTGATACATTGCAATCAGGGACGTTGGAACCAGGGAGGCACTAGGGGTAAGAGCCCCAAACGTATTGAAGAATGTCCCTTTTCTCCGCAAAAAGAAAAGGATTTCCAAGAGGTTTCAGATAAAACCATAGGATTTTCACCAAAACTGTACGAGATTTCATAGAGTTTTTTGCTCATCGGTGTGTATCACTCTCTCTTTGCCCCTCATAATTTGAAAAGCCTCCAATACTTTAGATTATAGTTCATTTGCAAGCAGAATTCTTAAAAGAAGGAGTCGGGTTTTGACCTTCCAGCGTGAAGAGGTTGCTTTTAAATAGCAAATAACTCCGAGAGTCAGCTGATGTTTGAGAAGGCAACATAACCAGACGCAATCAGACACGAAACAAAAAGTAGCGACAACGGTGACAACAGACTCGGCACATGAACAAACAAAGTTGTCTGAGCAATAATACCTGTTTACTATCATGAGATTCCAGGTTACAAACGTAGAAATCATGATATTGAATACTTGGGATGGTAATTGAGTAGCCTAGACACGCAACATGAAAGGGGTCTGGAGCACAGCCTGGGAATTGGGCAGCCACCCCCCCACACACCTAGGGAAAAATGAGTTACGTTCTAACGACTCTGTGAAATGTATATAGTTTGAATTTTTAGATTATCACCATGTTTAGTCAGAAAACGGTCCATAAATGGTCCCAATGTTCCTTCCTCCTGAAAATTAAATACGTTGCTTACATTTACCAAAGGCATAACCAATATCTTTATCTTTATAGCAGAACACGGGTCGTGCTGCTATGATTTTGTCGCGTGCAAACCGCGTGCAAACCGCGTGCAAACCGCGTGCAAACAGGGATACTTCGCATTGATAATCTTGATGAAAAGAGATGAAAATTGGCGTCAGCCTTCTTTGTCTGAATGAAACATACTAACCAAATATGGAAGACATGTTTTTAAAAAATGACGAATGTTATGAAAAGTAGAGGCTCGGGACACTAGCCCTGTACAACCCCACCCTACATTAGGACAACGATAGCTCAGTTCTAGCAAGTTTGTAAACAATTTGGGCAATGTTTATTTTCCAGGTAGGCTTGACACAATTGACGTAACCAATCTGTTCCATATTCACTTGAGCCTCTAACACAATTTTTGTAGAGTGGCATCGCCATCTTGGTGCATTAGCAAGAATCTGCATGGTTTGAATGCATCTTGTAAAAATGTAAACAAATAGGCCTGGTTTTTTATTCAAAAGGCACGAGGAAACAACTGACGTCTTTTCTTCAGTTGTTGACTGCTTCTGATTTTGACACTTTATTACACTAACAATTTTTTTAATTAGCGATGCATACTCAGCAGTTCAGGACCAGTTTGGGTATCATAAAGCTCTGGAAATCTGGTAATTTGCCCGTTTTACTGAAAGACTGAATATTTTCCTCCCCATTCTCATTTTTGGTCTTGAGATTCTCTTTCGACATCTGCCACCAGTGTCCGCGTTAGACTAAGAACCTAAGCTCCTGCGAAGGAGCAAATCAAATACAGCATTATTAGTTCAAGGTTTTTTGAGAAGGCAGGGCTTGAATACAAGGTGTTATAGACACTGAACTGCGAGTCCGGTTTCAGATTAATAAATATTTTACATAATTTAGTAAAACATATGGCTAGAATTTCCAGACCTGCAGTCATGCAGGTACCTAACCACTATAAGATGGTCTGATCAAACACATCTTTGAGATCTTTTGTTGCGCGCACAGGCAACCAGTTCCTTTATTAAGACTAATTTTCCCAGATTCGACTTGATGTTTGCATAACTCATCTCATTCACTAAACAAAGTACTTGAATGTTAATCCCGAGAGAGCAGGCAGAGGACCGAGTGTCTTGATGTTGGCCCTCAGCAACAACGCAGTTTCGTGACCAAACGAGGAGAATTTGGTAAGCGTGCTTCAGAGTCGTGTTAGTATTTGTGTATTCACACGGTGTTTGTTTAATCGTGGCTATTTGAGCTTAGCGATAGCACGTCACATCGTATGGATATCGTGTTCTGCGATTGATAACTTGAGAGATTTCCTTCTTAATTTTACTAGCTCTTCCATAACAAAGAACAAATCCATAGCCGTTAAAAACTTCCAAATACAAGAGCAAGCCACATGCACTCACACTACCGCCTCATAATCTGTAACAGAAATAGTCTCTTTTAATGTGATTCATCAGTTCAATTTCCACTGGCTCGTTTACGTGTGTACTTAGATAAATGATTCTTTTATGTTTTCTTACCCTTTTTTATCTTTGCTTCGTAAACGGTATTTTAAGTAAGAGGTGTTGTCGCCAAGATGGCGAAAGCGTGACAAGAATTGAACAGTTCCTAAATTTTAATGAATTTTGTTGACCAGCTAGAAATCTGTTCCATGGCATAACCAAGATGATTTTCTTATCTGAGGCAAAATGATGACGTGAAAGACATAAAGGCGTGTCGTTAGACATTGGTGCATGAAAAAGAGGATCTTTGAAAGCCCTTGTTCTCGTTCCACGCTACTACGAAACCCATGTACCCATCTACTGTCCACATTTTGCTAAGAACACCAAACTGATTCAGAATATCCATTTCAAAGTACGGTGATTTTGAATTGTTGTTATCATCGTGAGAAGATTAGGGTATCAATTTTTAAAGCTTTCGGCAGGTTTGCCTTATCAAACCATCGTTTCGGCGCATTAGGACTAAGCTTTGGCCGTCAATGTTCTTTTATAGATATATTACACATCCCACACACAATCGCCTCGTGAGATGCTGTCTTTTGTGTTACTAAAGTTAGAAACCCAGCTTTTCCTTACATCCAATTCAATTGAAGCAAAGGCAGAGGCAAGGCTATGTAGAAAGGGAGGAACAACTCAGTGACTAATGGCACTGACTTCAGATTCAAGGGTCCGTGCTTTGAGCCTATGGCTTGACGAAACTTTCATTCAGAAAGAGGACATTCAACAGCTCGCTGTAATTCCAGGCGTAAGAATCACGAAATGAGGTCACTTCGAGAAGAAGGACCAGCTTGATAAGCTCTGCTTTTCAGTGTCCTTAAAACTATCTTCGGGTGCTATGTAGCAAATACGAAAATTCAAATGCAAAAATCTTTAGTCAAACTGAAGGCCACTTGCATCTAGCTCCAAAAGTATACTAGGGGTTTGCAAGGGATATACAGAAAGACGCAGGGAGGGAATCTAGGCATACGCCCCCCGGCGGTATTAAGAGGGGGACAAAAATTCTAACTCTATTGTTTAAGATAACTTACCTCGTAAATTTAAGATAGAAATAGAATAAATAGCTGAAATCACAATTATGCTCATTTTTGCCCACATGAGAAATTGGATCTTGTGAAGCAGACAGGGTGTGATTTTAGTAATTTAAGGGGCAGGGGGATACAGAACCATATCTATGACCAGCATACGTATGACCCAGACAAAAGCAGGAGACTCGACCGAGCATGTTAAATTGAGAACAGGGTGTGATCATGCCCCCATTTTCTTTACTTAGTCCCAAAAATCTGCCAGTGGTTCAATGTTTCACTAGTCCAAAACTGCAGTACAACTGCACGACTTTATTTTAACATTGAATCGTTTGTACAAAACATTGATCCAGCAGGAATTTCGATTAATTGAAATAAGATCCGAATCAATGACAATTTCCTCCAATGCTCTTGACTGCCAAAAACAAACACCGTAGTGAAATGCAAACAAGAATTGAATGAACGATCAAGAGAAGGCGATAGGACGATTCTTTTCGATTTAGTTTTAGATAAACAGCCTATTACTGTTACTTTGAAAGTTAAGTCTTTCCAGTCGTATATGATCAATGCAGCGTTGGTGTGTTGATTAACCCAGCTTAGGCGCTTTTGTTTTTAAGATTGCAGACATTCGTTCCCACACGGATGCGCTCTGTGTAGCCAAATCACAAGTTCTTATACCTATACGAAATCAGAGCGGTACCTTATGGAAATCCTTCGTAGATCGTCTGTTTTCGGCTAGAGACTTTTGCCAAGGAGCTCTAAGGAGAATTCAGAGCCGGATTTATTAGCTGATGAAATTAGAAAGGTACTAGGAAATCTTAAATGTAGCTGCATTTAAGAAAAGTAATTCATCCTGTTGTCCATGCAACACCAATGAATAGACAGTGTTTTTGTTATAACATTGATCTATGAACCGTTGTCTCTCATCCAACAAAGTATATCGAATGCAGTTATTGGTGGCAAAGGTACGTGAATAATGGTGATAAAGGGACATCTTTCATGGTGGCACGGTTTTACCAGGTAATTTATATAAATGTAACAGAGTGGATTGTGTGAGCTCTGACGTGACGTGTGCTGTTACCAGTGGCGTAACGGACTAGAGTTGTCTTTAGCTTAAAAACTAAAGGGCCCTCAAAAAGCCTTTTCTTTAATGCCGGTATTTTAAATGTGGTGAATGAGTACAGGGCCTGCACGATACTTCTGTCTTATAATTTTAGGCCCCGACTGCCTTCATTACGCCACTAGCTGCTACACTCCTTTCTGGCAGGCGAAGTGTAGTAAAACAGTATGGATTGTGTTCCAATTCAAATTTCCAGTACATGCTCATTTTATTCGAAAGGCAGATCAAGAGTTGGTTTATAAGTTTATTATTTTTTGCCCTTCAATTCCAGAAGTTCATCTTCAGCTTCTCAAAAGCTCATCTCTTTCCAAGTAGAGGCCATTGAATTTAATCTTAGTTCTACCCTAAAAAACCAAGATAAAATCAGTAATCCCCTACCAAATTTAAAATCTTTCATTGGCACATATAAGGGAGTTAGATAATTCTCTTTCAGATGATGTGGTCAAACTTCGAGGGGTGTGTATTTTTCTCGGGATCAACTCTTCTCTGAGAAGTACCTTTATGTGCAAGGTACGCTATTAAATATTTCGCTTGGTATGAACTCTTAAAGAGTGATATGATTTATAAATTGACCACAAACTTATCAATTGTAGAGTTTCTTTGGAAGGGGGGGGGGCAGTACAATCTTTCTCTTCAATGAAAGTCCTTGTGCATCTATCTATATTGCTGTACAACCGTGTCAGTTTCGTTTCCTGGATTAATTTCTAGTCTTTTTAAGTCTCTCAAGGTTGTTTAGTATCCTAGCGCAACCTTTCCTTACATGGCAGAACCAAGGAAGATATAGGGCGTGTAAATATCCCCTTTTTTGTCAAATCACACTCTACGCTCTTTGTTATAAGAACCAATAAACTGAAGTTCAGACTGGCTGTTTTTGATTTGTCCAAAACTTTTGGATGGAAGCAGTGAAACTGTTAGGGTAGAAGCAGTGAAATTGCTGGTCTAGTATGCATTGTATAGATGGAGGCTATGTTATTCAACACCTTCAAGAAAATGCAATATTAGAAGGGTAAAGAAAGGCAGTGAAGAATTTCTGCGATGAGCTTGCACCAAGTACAAAACATTTGTTAGATGCAAGAAGCTTTGCTTTACAGCTCGTACGTCGCGATTATAACCAGGATTATTGCAGTACTTTTCCTACTCACTTCCTAACGATTTTGCGATGTCAGTTCATTCAAATGGGTGAATTGCCAGGCCTAAAAATGCCCAGGGTGCACCTCTGTTTTTATTCCATACTTTCTATATTTCCAGCACTTTATTCTCAAAAATATCGAATGTAGCAATCCAGAGGTAAGGTGCTACATGTTCAAGCAGTTCGCAAGTTTTCTGGACAAAGAGCTTATCAAACAGAGATGGCGATATATGTCTTATCATTTATTTATCTCTGTGTCATATTTAACTTTGTTTTGATTATAGATAAGTATTTGATAACCTTTAGATTGTTCTTTTAACTGATAGGGGTTTGACGAACACTTTTTTGGTAGTTCGTCAATATTCGAGTGATATGCAATATGTTACAAAACGGTGATTGGAAAAGCTCCGTTATGATTCCTTGAGATTCTACCCTCATTGTATTTCCATGCAGCCATAGAGCAACTTTGCATGGTTCTTTATTAATTACAAAATATGAAGGCCGCTGTTTCATCTAGGATGTTGCTTCAACTGAACAGATTTTACCTGAAATTGCCTATCAAGTTATTATTAGAGCTTTTGACACTCCTCAGAAGAAAAGCAACGTCTAAGCTCATCTTTGCCCTTAAGTAAACCAACTTAGCATTTTTAGCATGAGCATGATAGGGCACATACCAGACTCTTGAACCTGATATTGTGCTTGCTGCCAAATCATTCCGATAAATTGATTTCCCAACAGGTGGAAATGGAGCAAAAGATATTTCTTGAGAAGAACTTAGAGCGAAAAAGCTTACTAGGTTTCTTCACAATTGAAATAGAGTCGACTGTCAAAGTTTAAATGCTTTGTTTTGATGTAACAGCTATAAGATTAAAACGCAAGACTGTGAATATTTCAGTTATGTAAATTTGGATTTACATTGTCATGTAGGACGATGCCCTTAAGCTGCGGTTGGATGAAATATCTCCCGATATGCGGCTCGAGTTATCATCATATCGTCCAGTACATCATCATTCAACCCCAGGGGCGTGGCTAGTGGAGGTTTCAGGGGCAGTGAGGCATCTTGCAAGCGAAGAGAACAGATAATTTTTGCGACCACGCCCTCTAGATTAGCTTGAAATACATTTCAGTATATTCCTTGCAGTCATTGTTTGCAATCGTTTGCAACATTTTGCTATTTTTAAGGCATGCTTTTATTGCGTTTGATTAATTCAAGTCTTAAAATGGAATTCGTTGCTTTATGTGGCACCATAGACCCCGGTTTATTTCTTGGAAATTAAGCAATGCTGTAAAAGGATTTATCACACTATTCCTTTCTTCTGTTTCTATTTTTTTCTATTATTTTTATTCTCTTAAAAACACTTTTTGCAATAAAGTGGGGGGGGGGGCTGAAGCACTTCTGGCGCCGCCCATGTTGTTGGGTGGAATGTCGGATCGTTTCGACAGGACTTTAATCAGACTGGGCAGCGAAAGATTTGATTCATGACTATGATTAGCACTATCGTTAGAAAGTATCATTTTCAGCTTTCCCTAAAATGTGACTTAATTCTAATGACTCACTAATGTTTAATATTTTGATAGGAAACAGATTGTCGACTAACTCACTGTTTGGAGTAAATCTTTTCCACGATGAAACAAACTGACGAACAATGCCAATTCGTAAAGATATGTTTCTAAGGAAGTCCAAGAGTAAAACGGAGTTGTTCGTATTGCTGCCAAACAAACCAAAGGACATCATGAGCCCAACGAACCGACAGTCAGGTCGGACAATTACCATCGAGAACGGTATAGGGCAGTGTTTGGAGAAGTCGAGGGAGAATGAGCAGCCAACGAAAGGAGACAGAAGTGGAACGGGTGGTTTTAAAGACGATTTATCGGATCTGATTTTTGTCGAATCTCATGACAAATGTTTACGGGATTTTGGCAGCAGCAAAGAATACGATATTATGCATCTGCATAGAAAATATGAGAAACTACGCGAATACAACTTACAAACAAAAGTTTCCGATGCTGAATTTCGCAGTGATAGGAGTTGGACGAGTTTGGACACCTGTCAGCGAAGTCCGAGAAGATCAGCGTCGGCGGAAAGAAAGTCGGTCAGATTTGAAGACGACCTCTCCAATAGTCTCAGCAATAAAGCACGGATAATTTTACCAATTTCAGCGAAAGGAGAGGATTTAAATCATAACACGGTTGAATGTAAAGCAAACAGTAGGATTCCGGTTTTGAAAAAGAGAGAACCGACTTCACCAGTGCAATGCTGTAAGACTGGAATAAGACGTGATTATTTGGAGTCACCAACGGATTTGCGAGAGTCCGGGTCTTGTGAAGAGGCACCGGAGCCCCGTGGCATACTTTCCAAGACATTATCCGAAAACCCTTTTAACATCAAGAGGTCAGATATTTTCGTACCCGAGACCAATTTTAGGTGTCATGAATGTGAAAAGATGTTTAAGTATCAAAGTAACCTGAAGAGTCACGTGATGACGGTGCACGGAGGAGCTTTGTACAGATCGGGAAGCCAGAAATGTTTGCGATCGATGGATGACTTGTTGATCTGTGACGTGTGCTCCGTGGTCTTCAAATACTCCGTGAATTTAAGAGCCCATAAGGCTGGACATTCAAGAAATAAGTTGAACGCAACAATTTAAGGGGTTAATTTGACGATTAAAGGGGAATCCTGAATAAACGCCTCCCCGCTGAATAATTTTTCAAAAAAGTCAACCCACGATATCCTTATACCCACAACGTTCTATTTTATAAATATGGAGCAACTAAGTATATAAGTTCCTAATTGCATATTACATACCAGGGCGTTGAGACTTGGGGTAGTCAGAAAAATACCTCTGGCCTCAAGCTTTACTGGGGGTCTAGACCTGGCTCAAAACCCCCCTGATTTCATAACAGATCAAAATAAATGTAAATCTGTCGTCTTTAGGAAACCGATTATTTTTCAGCCATCTCAGCTTTTCTGCTAGGGAAGCTTCCACTTTGTAAGAATCGTGTTCCTTACAGAAGGAGAGGGCTTTTGCTGGCATCCCCTTACCAGCCCTTTTGGCCATTACCAGATGGTCGAATGCCTAATTTATTGCTTAAATATACCTAAGCCCTAACTCCATTAATAACGGAGTTTAGACCATGGCATACCTACTAGGCGAAGAGGGCCAAAGCTACAATAATTTTAACAATTTGAAAACTAAACATGTTGGAACATCGAAGGAGTCGCGTGGAATGAAAGACACAGCAGACATTTATAGCTTTGTTGTGCTCAAATTCGAAGTTGAAATGGCCTAGATTTGAAATAGACCTACCCGTCGGAAAATACACGTTAATATTATAGACTGTAAATAGAGTGTATATATCTTCGTAGCGACTAAAAAGCAATATCTTGTCATATGAAAGGCTTAACTATCATGTAAATAGCTTAAAGTGGATTAAAATAGCCATTTCTTTTAAAATTATACGAAATGGATTTACTCAACTGTGCGCTGTTTTACTATTGCAAATATGTGATGACTTTGTACATCTTCTGCGTCACATGAATAAGGGATGAATGATTTCTTGGTATTGATTTTCATCATGCTTCCTCGATTAAAGATGGTTGACAGACTTATCGGCATCAGCGTTCCTCTTTCAAAGTACAGGAATCGTAACATCTTCTTTAAAGGGAATCTCTCCTTGTCAGGGCAGAAAACAAGCACTCGACCCGTGCTGAAATGTGAAGTCCCCTGAAGCATAAAACCTGATGAGCTGCACATTATGTAAGGGATGGTTGAGTAGTGGGGCTGCACTGTAACCAGGACGACTATTTTTCCATGTTTGGGAGACTGAACACCCTCAGGGTCCCTTCTGGCTTTAGGCCTGGTCCACAATTTTACAAGGCGAATGGGCAAAAACACAAAAAATTTATCTAGCAACGATTTGCATTAATAGGCCTACTATTTGAAAGAGAGAGTTCGGAAACACGACGAAACGACGAATCAAAAGTGCGATGCTACCCTTTTACGTCCCTTCAATTAATCTAAGTAATAACAACGTGATGCACAAAAATACTTATATCGAGCATATGTTGCAATCATATTGCGATGCAGGGACGAAAACAAGTTGCTAATTTTGGGGGGGCGTGGAAGTATGAAAATTCCAACTTTAAGTGATAAATTTTTCATTCAACCAGTAGATCTGTTGTACCTACCAAATTGATATTTGTAAATAGCCCGAACACCATAGTTCTATTTTCTTTATAATTACCAAATCTTTACTCAATAATTAGCCTAAAGCATAAAAGCCTAAATCTCTAAATTTTGATTAACATGAAACAAACATTAAACATACTGTAAGATATAAAGCAACATTTAAGCAAAACCAGTATTAGATATACTTAATGATTAGTAGTATTCTTTCAGATCAATTGATCAATTTTATCTAGAATACATTTTTTCACGATATAGAAGCACCAAGAATTTGGGCCTTTTATTTTCGTTCTTGATCGAAGAAAACTACCTTTAAACTTTTCAGAGGGCCAAATGCCTTTTCATTCTTTACAATTGAAATGAGGATTTGAGAACAAACTTGTGCATATGCCTGATTCGAAAGATGAAATACTCTTCTTTGATCAAATACTTCTACTGCAGTTTTTGCAATGTGTTCTTGCTCCACAGCAGTTTTGTCATAGGAATTTATGATAAAGACTCAAGGACATAAACAAATAACAGGGGGAGTTTAGCATAAACTCGTTTTTTATAAGAAGCGTTGAGAATTTTTAGTACTGAAAGATTCTTAATCTTTTATTGAATTAACTACTCGTAGTTTCTAAAAAAATTCCCACTCTAATATTTTCTCATCAATGCGGGTATTATTATTCCAAACTGTAAGTTTCAAGTTTCTTATCCGTAAGTTCACCTTGCCTGTTCGTAATTTGATTCAACTCCCGTCAGAAAGAAAGAAAAAGAAAACGGGGCAAGTGTGCAATTTGGATCCAGTGGAGACGGGATTCACAATAGAAAACGATTGGATGGGTCAGCTTCAGTCTGTGAATTTTAATGTTTAGAATTTTTATATTTAAAATAAAAAAACTTCTTAAAATATAAAATTCACAAGTTTGGTCTTAAGAAAAAAATTCCAAGTCAACCGTTACGTTTTCCAACTGTAACTGGATTTTCCAAACTTTGGGGGGGGCGTTACGCCCCCCACGCCCCCCTATTATTTACGTGCCTGTTGCGATGAAATAATTGCCAGGTGATATTTGCAAAATGAAGATCCTACGATAAACTCATTTTGGAATTTGTTTTCAACCTCTTCTTTTGAACACTTCTTAGCCACGCTTGCAATATCATGTGCACCATGGTGAGTTTGTGATTTTTACATAAAGTTTGAAATCTTCTAAGAATCTTGCCTAGGGGAGGCGCCAAGAAGTTCAAAGTGAGGGGGGCTTGAGTTGATATTTTTTGTTAGATAAAAAACCATTATTTGAAAAACGCACTAAAATGCTTCACGATATTTTGTGCCTATGATTTTATGGGGCAATTGTTATGCTAACGGTACATTGGAAGGGTAGGCGATAGGTTGTTGGAGGCCCTAGGTATATCCGGAAAAAGAGGCTCCCCAAATCGACCAAGAGTGCCTTAAAAATGATAAGTTGGTTTTTTTTAAAATTACAAGAAGCAAAGCGCTTCTGAATCTTATGTTAATAATGCAGCAATGCTTGTCCAGAAGATGTTTCAAGAAGGTTTGCATCAAGTACTGCCATTCCTGTATGAAGCAACATCATTGCTAGCAACGATTCCAGCAACATGATGCTCAGCTGAAAGATCACTCAGTGGCCTCAGATCACATGGTTGATCTGAAAACATATCTCAGATCAACCATGGGCCAAGAACAGCTGAGCAATTTGGCCCTACTTGGCATCGAGCGGAAATTTTGAAACGAAGTTTTGAAAAGTGACATGAAGGCGATGATTGATGCATTTGGACATAGAAAAGGGTCGGGACGCACATTTCTTTTGACTGTAGTCGAATTCAAAAGTTAATAGTAGTATTTTAAGTGATATTAAGTAAAATATTGGAACATATTATGCATTGCTGCCCTCATCTATGAAAAACCTAGATCAAACTTTTAGATCTGAACAGTAGACATTATAGAAGAATCGATAAGGATAGCATGCCCCCCCCCCCCCAAACATGTCTCTGATTGGTTTGCTCTGCTCTCAACTGACTATTTTTACTTTAGATATTTCGGTGAAAAAGAATTCATAATTTAAATATTCTTATGTCAAAGTTCCTTATCACCAACAGGCTCATAAATATATGCATGCCTCTGTACTCGGGCAAAAATCCTACCGCCCCCTGTAAAAACTCTGCCGTACGCTTATGGCTAACACCTATGGATCTCGTTACAAATAACCTACTTTCATTTCTGAAAAAAAGATTCCGCTATATGAGCTTGTTGCATACCAGGTCATCTTTTCAGCAACTGCCCGACTCTTTGGAGAATACACCCCATTTAAATTAGAAACACCGCAACTACTATACCACCATGCCCCCGAGCTCGTCTTGGCACAGTGGAATGATGCCAAGTCGTTATCTCTATCTTTCGTTGAGAATTGCACTCCATTGTGCTGAGAAAGCGAGTCGCCCGCAGTACCTGAGTACCCCGAGACTCTTATCCTATATTGGTTCTCTTCATTTTCTATTTCAAACGTGCTATAGCTTGCGTAGGAAGTAAAATACCATTGCCTAAGTTCAACTCGAAGGATTGCACCTTTACCTGGCCGTGCCAAGTGGTGCAGTCTTTCCAGCCCCAGCCAGTAATTGCCTTGTGGATCACCAAATCCATTCTTGTATTCTTCCCAGTCACGGTAGAAATCAACATTATCGTTCGCTCTGCGTTGAAATACGATCCAAACACGGCCTAGGGTTGCCATATGACATCTTGCTCTATATGCTCCTAAGCCTTGAAGATACAATGGATACGCCCTGCTTTCTCGCATTCCCCTGTTGTATGCGTCCTGACAGCTGGAATATATTACTGCAAAAGAAATTATTATGTTAGGATTATTATGTGACGATTGTCAGTATTTTTTATCAAAAATGAAGCGTAAAAATGTCATATTAATGAGGCATACTTGTAATTTTGTATTGCAAACTGTGAAATTCTATCTAGGTTTCCTTGACTTGACCCAATGAATTGAAGATCAATGTTTAATTATGTACAAAACCTGTCACAGAATATACAACTATTAATGAATTGAGATGAAAAATAGGCGATTGCAAAGGATTGTGCTACGTTTCAAAATGGGACCACAGGGAAAAGCTTCCTTATGATGAGTATCTGTTAGATCCGATCTGGACCATGCCCAGCGCTTACACAGGATCCGGTCCAGGTCAAGGTCGGATCCATACATAATCACCTCTAAGGTGACCCCAAAGGTGTTCGGATAGCGCATCTAAAAGTATACGGGTCAACCAGTTCCCGCGTAAACGCAAGACCTATCCGTTCTCTTGCGTCGGATCGACTCCCGTGTAAACAAGTCGGATCGACTCCCGTGTAAACAAGTCGGATCGACTCCCGTGTAAACAAGTCGGATCGACTCCCGTGTAAACAAGTCGGATCGACTCCCGTGTAAACAAGTCGGATCGACTCCCGTGTAAACAAGTCGGATCGACTCCTCCCGTGTAAACAAGGCGGATCGACTCCCGTGTAAACAAGTCGGATCGACTCCCGTGTAAACAAGTCGGATCGACTCCCGTGTAAACAAGTCGGATCGACTCCCGTGTAAACAAGTCGGATCGACTCCCGTGTAAACAAGTCGGATCGACTCCCGTGTAAACAAGGCGGATCGACTCCCGTGTAAACGGATCGACTCCGGTGTAAACAAGTCGGATCGACTCCCGTGTAAACGGATCGACTCCAGCGATTAACAGGGGAACAAGTATCAGTTGCTTTCCAGTCTTTCTGCCTAAGTCACTTTGTGCATTATTTCATTTTGACATTCTTGCGAAGTAATTTTGAGAGTTTCTCGAAAGAGTAGCCCATAGTCTGATTTTACTTCCCAATTAGCTAGCTGGATAGCCAAGCGACAAGGTACAGCTAGAAAGGGCTTCTACCATTAGTTAACCTGGTGGGATTGAAACTCTTTAAATGACCTTTTGATGAAAATTTCAAACCTAAAGGCAACTAAAACGTTTCATTCGCCGCTACGCTCAAATAACTGGATATTAGAGCTATTTCTCAACTTCTTTTACTCATTGAATACCAAAACCGGAAACTATAGCCCTGAATATTGAACGGATCAGCCTAATGGTGCTCTCTGGTGTTTTCATCAAGTCACTCTTTTCGCAACAGCTGCACACATGGCATGCCAATGTAAGTGACAATCTTATAGGCTGAATGAAAGTGAAAATGGAGCAATGTGAGTGGGCAAAATTACAAATGACAACATGGTATGAAGGTTTTTAAAATTTTAATGAAAAGTTAGATAAAACCCTTTACCATCTGGACGAGGATGACATTTATAACCAGGACAGGCGCACGTTGCTCTGCATGTCATACTGACCGGGCATGGCTGTGTAATTCGGCAGAGATCTCCAATCTGCAAGAAAGATTGTCATCAATGTAGTCTTCTTAAGCGACTTACTTTTGTGCCATATACAATGGCCATGCATCAGTAATTTGACCCAGACAAATAGAAATCTTGGTTATTTTTTCTGAAGCAAATTATAAGGGTGATTTCTGTGATAATGAAGAATTTAGGATGATCTTATCATAGTCCACTCTCGCTATATCGGACTTGCAAAAAGGGGGCTTCATTTTTAAAAAGTAAAATATAAACAGTGGCGGTTTCAAAGGGGGTCCAGAAGGGGGCCATGGCCCCAGGTCCCGTGCATATGGTAGGCAAAAGGGGCCCCACAGCTAAGAAAAAAGAGAGAAATTGTAAAGAACAAGGGCCACGCAGATATTTTTGGCCCCGCAGTCCCTAAAACCGCTGCTGAATATAAACCAAGGGAATTTTTTTCTTTTTAAAGCTTTGAGCCTTTCCATCAATTTGCAACGATAGTCAATTGTCATGAAGTCTCAATTTTCGCTTTTCTTTGAAAACAAACAATGGCATGAAATGACATCGACCTAAAAGCTGCTGACAAGTTTTTTAAAGATCCTTGCACGACAGCATCCATTGCATATATATGTTAATGGCCGGCCTAATATCGTACAGCATGAAAATACCAAGTACAGCCTTATTCTCCCCGCGTAAAGTAAACAGTAACCGTAAAGCATGTCGGTTGTGCAAAAGCCTTTAACTGAATGAGCATGTTGAATTACTTACATTCTTTTCTCCGGGATCTGTTGTTCTGTATGTCCAGTTAGAAGACGGTGACATTATCCTGTTATCACCTGGGTCTTCTGCCGATTTGTCGTGAAGCTTACAGTTAACCCCGGCTGAATCGGTTGTGGTGATTGAACGACAATGAGGGTGACGAACGCATTCGAACATGCATTCTTGGACGAGCAAGTCTTCAAATGTTTTCACAACTCGTCCAAATAATTCAAAACTTTCTCTTACGATGCTGAAATTTCCGAAGCTGTAGCACGGTAGTCGCAGAATATATCCTTGCGTATCTCGACAGCAAAACCACATGATCAGGCTAAAATGTGAATGAAATTCTATGACCAAGGACGTCAAAAGCATTTAAAACATCGCAGGGCAACTCATTATGCTAGTAATACATTCGAAGGGCAGGCGAGAGGTTGTCAGGGGTCCTAGGTAAATCTGAAAGAAGAGGCTTCCCTGCGAGCGAAGCAAGCAGAACATTTTGCAACCACGCCCTTTTCATTAGTATAAAATACATTTCAGAAAAATTTTTTTACAGTCATTTAAAACATTTAAAATCCTTGCAGTCGTTTAAAACATTTTACTCTTCTAATGCATGCTTTTGATTAATTCCTGTCTTAAAATGGAATTAATTTTATGGTTTTAATACTACCATAACATTTCCTTGTGTCTATGACCTTTTAAACCTCGCAAATTTAAAATGAAATGATAGAGATTGTGCAAAAGAGAGATTGCAACTCCCTGATAATTTCGAGTTCATGGTGGATTATGGAGTCTTTAGTCAAACATTGGCAAAATCAACAGCATTTCAAGAACAACAAGAAAACGGTTTATCCATTTAGTTTTCTGTGGTTCGTTTAAAAGCCCTGTTAAAATTCTTCAAAAAATCTCAGTTTGCTCGCGTTTGCTTACATCTACCAACAAAGAACACACGCCTTTAAAGCCATTTTAAGCAGGAATTTTGAGAAAATTCTTTTGTTTTATATAAACTTAATTACTCTTAGTTACAAATGCCGATCTGGCACAATTTGATGGTAGAAAAACACAATTTCATGATATAAAAACGCAAGTCTATAACAATGGCTCCCCCAACTGGGTATCGAAAGCCCGCAAATTGAAAACCAGATATGAAATCAGTCATAACGATACCACTGCTGCGATAAAATCTAAGGTTAGAAGCCATTTTGCGAGTGAAATAATGAACAAGCTTAAAATGCACGTTGTACTAAACAAGAAATTATGTACATATGCTCGAGTTAAAACGGTTTTCAAATTCGAATCCTATCTTGACATTGTCAAAGACTTTAACAAAAGACGGTGCCTTTCACGGTCAAGACTAAGCGCTCATAATCTAGAAGTAGAAACTGGCCGTTTTGGAAAAAAACCCTATCCCTAGAGAAGAACGACATTGCAGTTTCTGCTTAGCGACAGGTTTAAGGGTTTTAGGAGATGAATTTCATTTACTTATGGTATGTCCAGAATTCGCTGATAAAAGGTGCTATCTCTTAAATGAACTCCAACGAACAGCCCCTAATTTAGAGCAGCTAACAAGTTGGAATCAATTTATCTGGATATTAAGTCATGAAGACTTAAAATGTCTCAATTTAGTTGCCACATTTCTATACAAATGCTTTGAAACAAGATTGAAAGAACAGTAAAACAATACTGATTCCCAAGATGTTCAAACCCCGGATTCTAATTATTAGTTGATTATATAGATTTTTCGCTGTAAAATAGCTTTTTGATATTGCGTATATTTGATTTTCTCGTGCTTTCATAATTAACAAATTGTACTATTTAAAATTGAGTTGATATCAGCTTTTGACAAGTTGTTGTAGAGGTAATTCTATTGACTTTTACTGTTATTTCTATGTTGTAATTAGGTTAGAGGCCATCTTGGCCCAGGTACCTTTTTAATAAATAACATAAAAACACAATTCACAATTCGGAAAACTCAATTCTGTAATAGCAAAATGTAAGTGAAAAATTTACAAATAAGAAGGCACCTTTAATGCTTCGAGGGAAGATAAATAAATCGAAGAACAACTCACATCCGAATAAAGACATTCAACTTCATTTTGTCTTTTTTGGCACTGATTTTCAGTTTGCTACAGCGCCACTTGAGACTTTCCTCCTGGGGATTCTGCTCTCCCAATGGTGCATGCAGGTCAATCTTCTTTGCTCATCTTTTATTACCTTCATATGCATAAATTATTAACGAAAAGTTCTTTTTAATCAACCTTTTACTCAGAATAAAGTGCATACACAATAACAAATAAAACATGTTTATATAAAAGGCTTTAAAAATTAAAATTACCGTGCTTACAATTAGCCATTTCATCACTAACAACGTTGTTATAATTTTCAAAGTCACTAGGCCGATTCTTCATAAAATTTGTAAACTTCTGATAAACATCTGTAAGCAAAATAATTGAGTCAGTCTTATCTTATTCATTAAACAAATTTGTAGCTTGTTGACAATGTTGACAATCTTGCTGTGGCTTTACAACACCCTCAGCTGTCCTGGAGCTTCATTCTACCTAAATTAAACCACACAGTAAAATGAACTAATCTGCAAAAAGAAAATTTGACCTTATTTTTTCTTTAGGCAACTGAACCAACATAGCAGCTCTCTCCATACAGTTGAAAAAATCTATACCTTTAGAAACCTTACTTTAAATTGTCCTTGAAATCGTCGGGCTGTTTTACTTTTCCCTGTACTAGTTGAATGTCATAAGTTTTCTATGCCGTTCTAGTTTCTATTGTATATACATGACTAGGTGAACTAATCTTTTAACTTAGCGTCTGGCGACGCAAACTCGTTACCAGATCATTTAGTCAAGCAACATATCTACTAGCGGCCCATGAGGGAATCTTTTGATGACGAAAAATTCGAAACTTCAATCCATTAACGCAAAACGCTATAAAATGATGAAAAACTTCTCTTTTTGTCAAGAATAAGCGAGACTGTCATCACTTGGAATGCTACAAATGAAGCGACTAGAAACACTGTTTACGATGTAATTTCTATATAACAAACATGGAAGTTATTTTGACAATCTAAGCAAGTGCTTAATACTCATTCTGACTACAGAATGTGGTTATATATCGGTAACTGATTGATTTTTCCGATTTGGATTCAAAATATATTTCCAGGAAGTCACGTGATCGATGACGTCAAAAGTTACCTTGAACGTACATACAGGGAAAGGAAATACAATAGTTTGATTAATTAAAAGGTTCGTAAAGCTTGGTTTGCCCTTGGTTTATTTCGGCAGCAATACATAAGGTGGTACGAATGAATAGAAGTCATGGAAAGTTTGATATCCTGTCTGAGTTGTTGATCAAGGATCAAGGGAGAGAGTTTCGCAAGATGTGCCAAAAGTGCCAAAAGAGCAGGAGTGACGTGGGGGGAGGGATGGGCTCAGGTGCTCAGCCCCTTGTTAATATTCAGAGAATTTTAGATGAGAATTTTAGAGGGCTTGATTCTATCTCTAAAACAAGCCAGTATATGTCTAGTTGACAAATTCGTTACTTGGTATTGTCAATTAATTCTTTAAGATGCTCTCGCTTTTCCATGAATGAGTATCTCCTACCATCCTTTTGGAGTAGGCGAATAGTTTGAATAATTTCATATACACAGCAGAGAATCTTTAACACAAATGCAAGAACATTGGGTGTGACCATGGGCTTGACCATGGGTATGACTTCTAGAAGTTGCCTCAGACCACACCTCTGCAAGAGTGCTGATGGAAAGGTTAACATTCTTTATTGACATAGATCTTTAAAGAGAGGGGCAGATGTTTTTGTAAAATAATAAAAATTGATAATGATAACATCGCGAACAAAACAATTCATTCTTTATGAAACCATGCAAAAAGGCAAGAACCTCAAGTCAGAAAACTAAAAAAACGGTGTAATACCAACCCCAGTCTAACGGCACTGTTCGGGTTTTCACGTAAATTTTCATTGCGTAGTCGATTAAGGTTTGGTTTAGTGTAATTAAGCCTTAAAATGTATCTTGTGACTTGGTGACGCAGCTTTTCTGTTTACCATATTTTCTAATTGCTTCGATTATAATAATTACACTTTCGTTTGAGCCAACTGACGTAAATTGAATAGAGCATCGTCATTGGTAGTTTATTTTGGATTAATTAGTTTACAGTATATATATAGAACGTTGAGATTTTATTATTGCGTGCGTGCAACTGGGGGTGGTTGTGCGAACCCAGCTGTGATTTGCTGAATAATATGACATGTGAAAAGCTCAAATGACTTTTTCTTCAGTGTTTTCTCTGGAATACAAAGTTTAAAAAGAATCAGCAAGATAGATCCTGAGAGGTCTAAAAATCTGGTCCACCGAGCCGGATGCATTTGTGTTTCAGTGAATGAACTATGGATGAACTGAAGAAGAAGAGAAACATCAGAGGAGGACATAGAGCTTTTGCAACGCAGTTGATCAGACAGATTGAAGATAGTCTGGAAGATCAATTGAAGTTGAAGCAGCTTGAGATACAGCTAGATGAGAAATTTGAAGTCTTAGGAAAATTGGATGACGAAATTTTGGGTCTTGTAAGCGAAATTGATGAAGATGGTTTGGGATGCTCACAAGAAATTTCTGAGGCTGGAGAGATGAAGGAAAAAATAAATCTAGCGCTGCTCAAGTTGAAGAGTTTAGTGAAGAATGAGAAGCAGTTGGAATCGCAGAAGCCTAATTTAACAAAACATGGCTCAGAAGAATCAGTTTATTCTGTAGAAAGTTCAGCGTCGTCAGCAACTCGTAAAGTTCGTGCGAAGCTACCGAAGTTGGAACTGAAAAAATTTAGTGGCCGCCCCCAAGATTGGCAGGAGTTCTGGGATAGTTATAAAAGTGCGGTTTACGAAAACGAAGAGATTTCAAAGATTGACAAGTTTTCGTATTTGAAGCACTATTTGGAAGAACCTGCGAAAAAAGTAATTGCTGGACTTGCTTTGACTGAAAAAAATTATGACATAGCTGTCGATTTGCTTGAACAGAGATTCGCGCGACCAACGACGATAAAAAGGGCACATATCAACGAGCTTCTGAATTTAGATGCGGTTTTCAATGAAAAACACGTTAAGAAGATGCGAGAACTTTATGATACTATTGAGACACACCATCGTGGATTGAAAGCCCTAGGGGTCGACGAAACATCATACTCGAACATAGTTGTACCTGTTTTAATGGACAAGGTTCCAGAGGCTGTTCGCCTGAACATGATTCGAGGAAGTAAGAATCACCAAGAATGGGATATGGAAGAAATGCTTGTGGCTTTTCGAGAAGAATTGGAGATTCGTGAACAGCATGTTTCGATTTCAATGGCTTTGGGAAATGGGACCGTTTCTGGTAGGACGTCATCAGAACGGCGAAGTGAGATGAAACCGAGGTTTCCTGGTCGAACAACAACAGCGAGTGCGTTGTTTACGAAACAAGATGGTGGATTTGCGAGAAGAAAGTTCTGTGTATTTTGTAAAGAAGATCATGAAGAAGCCGATTGTCACAACGTCAGGAACAAGGAAGAAAGGAAGGATCTTGTTTTTAAATATGGACGTTGTCTTTTGTGTTTAAAAAAGGGACACAGAGCTTACCAGTGTCATTCGAAGGAAAAATGTAAGTTGTGTAACAAACGACACCATGTTGCAATTTGTAATGTTGTTGGTAGTCAGCCTAGTGCTAACCAAGCTCGTGTCAAGACTGCTGATACTACTGTTACCACTTCTTGTGTAAGTAATATAGATTCTGGGGGGAGAGCAGTCTTGCAAACCGCCAAGGCCGTAGTTACAGGTAGCATAAGGAATGTTAAGGCACGTGTTCTTTTTGACTCAGGTAGTCAGAGGAGTTTTGTAACACGAAGTATGGTAGAAAAACTTGGTTTGAACCCCATTAAGCAAGTGCGCTTAGGTATAAAGACATTCGGATCTCAAAATATGGACGAGAAGATAAGAGATGTGGTCGAGTTAGAGTTGAAAGGAGTTGAAAGTGGAGGGAAAGTGAAAATACAGGCCTTTGTTGTTAATGAAGTTTCAGAAATACGCAATGAGCATGTTGAAATATTGAAGTATGATTATAAGCATCTTACTAACTTGTGGTTTTCAGATGTTTGTAGGCACGAAGATTCCCTTATTATAGACATTTTAGTTGGAAGCGATTGGCTTTGGACGCTTCAAGATGGTCGTATAATACGAGGGGAGCCAGGAGAGCCTGTTGCCATTCATACTAAGATTGGATGGGTTGTGTCAGGGCCAATAAAGGGTAAGTTAACTGATTTGGCAGAATCTTGTTCTTCAAATTTGGTTGTAAATGGTAATGGTATAACAGTTAATTTGATGCACCAGAATAAGGAACAGGAATTAGAACAAGACATTAAAAAACTGTGGGATCTTGAGACTTTAGGAATTAAAAGGCAAGATAAGGTGCATGAAGAATTTTTGGATAATATAGAGTTTAAAGGAGATAGATACTCTGTTCGTTTGCCTTGGAAAATGGGGCACAAGCCCCTTTCTACTAATTATACTCTTAGTCTCAACAGATTGAAGGGGCAGTTGAAAAAGCTCAAGGAGAAGCCTGCAATAATGGAAACCTATGATGGGATTATAAAGCAACAAGAAAGGGATAGAATCATTGAAGAGGTTACAAGTCTTGAGCCAAGTGAGAAGCTTAGTTATCTGCCACACCATGCCGTTGTACGAAATGATGCAGAAACAACAAAGGTAAGAATAGTATATGATGCCTCCGCAAAAGATAGGAAGTCAGGTACCTCTCTAAATGAGTGTTTACATGTTGGACCACCATTAAATCCACTTTTGTTTGATATCATGATAAGATTCAGAGAAAATAAGATTGCAATAACATCTGATATCGAAAAGGCATTTTTGAATATTGAAGTGGATAAAAAGGATAGAGATTGCTTGAGGTTCTTATGGGTTGATAGTTCTTGTGATAGTGAACCAAGCATTAAAGTTTACCGCTTTAATCGTGTTGTTTTCGGAGTAAATAGTTCTCCTTTTTTGTTGAATGCTGTTGTAAGACATCATTTAAGCACTTATGAAACAGCTGATCCAGAGTTCTCAGCAAAATTGTCTAGAAGTTTCTATGTAGATGACCTAGTGTTAGGATGTTATGATGTAGAAAGTGGTAAAGAACTCTACAATAAGGCAAAGAAAAGAATGTTAGAGGCAGGATTTAACTTAAGGAAATGGAAGAGTAATGATCCACAACTTGCTCAATATTTTAAGGTTATGGAAGAAACTGGGAAACATCTTGCAGATGGAGGGGGTGAATGTAGCTATGTAAAGGAAATGCTAGGGGAAGAAATTTCAGACACTAAGAGTAAAGTTTTGGGAATAACATGGGATATGTTGAAGGATAATTTGGAATTTGAGTTGACAAAAATAGAGAGCAGTGTTCCAAATTCACCTGTTACTAAGAGAACCATATTAAGCATGATTTCCAAACTTTTTGACCCTTTAGGACTTGTGAGTCCAATTATTGTAAGTGCAAAGGTTTTGTTTCAGGAATTATGCACCTTGAAGTTAGGATGGGATGATGAAGTACCAGTAGAAATGCTCAATAAATGGAATAAATTTGTATGTGATTTAAGTTCAGTGGGTGTTATTTCCTTACCAAGATGTCTATATGAAAAAAGTACAGATAAGGTAAATAAGTGTTATTTACATGGGTTTGCAGATGCCAGTAAGAAGGCTTACTGTGCAATGGTTTATTTAGTATACGAGACTGATACTGGAATGCATTCAAGATTGATTTGTGCTAAGACAAGGGTTGCTCCGCTTAAGGAATTAAGCATTCCAAGGTTAGAACTTATGTCAGGTCGTATTTTATCTACACTTGTGGAGACTGTGTATAATGCGTTAAGCCCACAAATTAAAATAGACGGTTGTAGGTACTGGTTAGACAGTAAGACAGCATTATACTGGATAAATAATCAAGGTGAATGGAGGCAATTTGTACAACATAGGGTCAATGAGATTCTGAAAATTTCTAAAAAGGAAGACTGGGGACATTGTATTGGAGTTTGTAATCCAGCAGATTTGGGTTCTAGGGGAGTCTCTGCAACAATTTTAAGAGATAGCAGACTTTGGTGGGAAGGTCCTCATTGGTTGTCCATGGGGAAGGAATATTGGCCTAAAAGTTTCACTCTTGAGGATTCACCAGAGATTATGGAGGAAAAAAGGAAAACTGTAAATGTTACAGCAGTAATAGAACAAAACAGACTAAGTGTGACTGAAATAATAGAGGTGGATAAATTTAGCTCTTTGAAGAAATTATTGAGGGTTACAGCAAGAGTGATCCGTTTCGTCACTAACTTAAGGTCTGCAAGGGAAGGTAAGATATTGAAATTAGGGGAATTAGACTCGGAGGAAGTTTCAAGGGCAGAAAGGATTTGGATTAAGGGCTCACAAATTGACCTTAAGAAACAACCAGGGTATAATGAGATTGCATTGAAATTGGGACTTTTCGAAGAAGATGGCATTTTAAAGTGCAAGGGCCGCTTGGAAAACTCAGATTTAGCACTAGAAACTAAGTTTCCGATTATTCTACCGAATAATAATTGGTTTACGCGTTTGGTTATTGAGGATTGCCATGAAAGGGTAATGCATGAAGGTCTGAAAGCAACGCTCACGGAATATAGGTCTAGATTTTGGACAACAAAAGGAAGGCAGTATGTAAAAAAGATATTGAGGGATTGCAGAAAGTGCAAAAAGGTACAAGGTAAATCGTACGGTGTACCATCAGTCGCACCTTTACCTGAATTTCGTGTCAAGGAAGTACCACCATTTACCTACATAGGTATAGATTTTGCTGGACCATTGTTTTATAAAAGCAAAATAGGTAAGATGGAAAAATGCTATATTGCACTTTACACCTGTGCTACATCAAGGGCAATACATCTTGACCT